CAATAGCCCCATCTTTTTTTTTTTTTTTTTTTTTTTTTTTTTTTTTTTTTTTTTTTACAGTAACACATGCAATACTTTAGGTCCATCCCTCTCTTTCTCCTCTTCACAAGTATCTAACTTCGAATTAGGAAACAATCCTCGAAATTACTTTAAGGTAATGACATAAATTTATAGATATTAATGTCAACTTTAAAATTTTGTTTATTTTATAAAAGTTAATTAGGGAATACCACTTTTACAAAGTTGGTAGGCAAATATACTATTCTTGTAGAAATTTTAAGCATAACTTATGTATAAAAGTGGTGCTCGTGAAAAAAAAAAAAGGCTTAAAAAATGGTGCCCTTAATAATTTACACTCTAAAATCATTTGTGTATTATTAGTATAAAGATTGTAACTTTATAATAATAATAATAATAATAAATAGAATTAGAAATTTAAAAAGGTTGACGCTGTTTATGTACAACAAATATATGTGATTATTTTAATATCTTTTATTTTAATTTACAATAATATTCACCGTCATAATATCAATGAAATCAAACAACATAAACTTTATGATAATCAACGAACATAAGTATAAATATTGCAACTTTATAACGATGAAATGAAGTTAAAAATTCATGGTTGTTGCTATAGTTTAGTGATAACTCCACGTAATCTATCTTAAGGTATAAAGTTCAAATTGAAGTATAAATAAAAGTAATGATAATTGTTTCAAAATGCTGAGGACTTTTGTATATAATATGCAAATTATTTTATCACGAATATTTGCATTTTATTACGATGATCAGAAATTATATGTTCAAAAGGCAAAAATAGGTACTACAAACAGTTATTATAAAAATGATATTATGTTTAGTTTATTGAAATTGCTTCTTACTTCAAATCCTTTTTTCAATGAGATAATTAAAAAACTCTCTTAAAAATGTATTGATCTAGATTTTTATCTTTTATTTTTAATTATTACCCATTTAACTGATATGTTATTTAATTAAAAGAGTATTAATCAAGAGTAAATGATAAAAAACAAGACATACAATCTAAAAGGGTATTTCTTCTTTTTCCCTTCTCCTTCAAGAAAAAATGAAAAATTTACTTTTGAGAGTGTATTAATCTGAACTTTTACTCCTTATTCTTGATAAATACTCTTTTATTAGTATAATTATTTAACTAAAAAAGATATGAATCAAGAGTAAACTATAAAAATTCTATTTGTCAACATTACCCATTCTTCAATAGAACAAATATATGTGATTATTTTAATATCTTTTATTTTAATTTACAATAATATTCACCGTCATAATATCAATGAAATCAAACAACATAAACTTTATGATAATCAACGAACATAAGTATAAATATTGCAACTTTATAACGATGAAATGAAGTTAAAAATTCATGGTTGTTGCTATAGTTTAGTGATAACTCCACGTAATCTATCTTAAGGTATAAAGTTCAAATTGAAGTATAAATAAAAGTAATGATAATTGTTTCAAAATGCTGAGGACTTTTGTATATAATATGCAAATTATTTTATCACGAATATTTGCATTTTATTACGATGATCAGAAATTATATGTTCAAAAGGAAAAAATAGGTACTACAAACAATTATTATAAAAATGATATTATGTTTAGTTTATTGAAATTGCTTCTTACTTCAAATCCTTTTTTCAATGACATAATTAAAAAACTTACTCTTAAAAATGTATTGATCTAGATTTTTGTCTTTTATTTTTAATTATTACCCATTTAACTGATATGTTATTTAATTAAAAGAGTATTAATCAAGAGTAAATGATAAAAATCAAGACATACAATCTAAAAGGGTATTTCTTCTTTTTCCCTTCTCCTTCAAGAAAAAATGGAAAATTTACTTTTGAGAGTGTATTAATCTGAACTTTTACTCCTTATTCTTGATAAATACTCTTTTATTAGTATAATTATTTAACTAAAAAAGATATGAATCAAGAGTAAACTAAAAAAATTCTATTTGTCAACATTACCCATTCTTCAATAGAGGTTTCCATATGGTTTTTTATTCCAATCTCATGCCAGCAGAACCTTGGGTCGGTCCAAAAGCCCGCTTCATGTATTTTCTGTTGGCCCAAGTCTCTTAGTACTTGGGGCCCACAATTTTGTAATATTTTAAAAAATTCATAGACTATTAAAAACCTCTCTTTTAAAAAACTTGCTCCTTTAAGTAGAAATATATAGGTTAACATTAAAAGATAAAAATAAAAAAGAGTTTAAATTTTAAGGCAGGGCCGACTTGACCTAATTTGAGGCCTTAAGCGAGATTTATAAAGGAAGCCTACTTAAAAAAAATATGTTTTTGTAGTAGCATGCATTGAAACGAAGAAAATTTTTTTTTTTATGTCTTCAAAAAAATTAACAAAAAATCCACTAAATCCAACATAGGAAAACAAATAAAAAAAATAGGGAATGTTTTCGGTAGGCCATCCTACCGGTAGGATTAGTTTTCTGACCGTTAGATCTGATCAAAATCAAATAAGATTGAAAAAATATGTAGAACAGATAATTTCTGATACAAATCTGATAGCTGAAACGATTAAAAAAATTGGAACAACAGGTAGTTCTATTTTTTTATCCTATAGGATAAACTCCCAAAAAAATAAAATGAAAGTCACTGTAAAAATATTATTGTTTCCAAAAAAAGGGACTGTCTCCGATAGGCTGTTCTACTAGTAGAACCAGTTTTCTAACCGTTGAATCTGATCAAAATAAAATGAAATTGAAAAAATATGCAGAACAGACAATTTCTGATACATATCTGAAGACTGAAAATGGTTTAAAAAAAGAACTATAGTTTTATTTTTCTAATCCTATAAGAGTAACTCCCTATTTTAAATATAAAAAAAAAAACTACTTTCTGAGTCTGTTTTCTAAGAGTGAGACGTTATCCCTACATTTAAGGACATTGAAATCATGGGTGATTTTCTAAAACATAAAAAGAAAAAAGAAAAAAAAAAAGCCATTTGGCTTCATATATATATATATATATATTAAATCCAAATAATACACATAGGAGGGCTAAAATATAAGCTAGAAAAAAAAAAGAAAATTAAAGACCTGAAATTGGGGGCCTTAAGCACCGTCTTAACCTGCCTTTTGGTTAAGCCTACACTGTTTCAATGAGTATTTTTAATTCTTTTTTCTATTTCTTGACGAACAACTTTTCCTCAAATAACGTCTCCCATGCAGTAGAAATAAATTGTGTTTTCTCTTTGTATGCCGTTGCTGCAACCTACAAAAATAAACAATAGTTCGCGGCAATTGAAATTTACGCACTGCAAGATAGTTTTCGATATCATTTGTGCTTGAAATTGAAAAACTTTTTACTGATTACGTCTAATGAGCTCTTTTTTTTTTTTTCAATAAGAAAAGTAGAAAACCTGTTACTAAGATATCTGGCAAAGTTTAGTAAGATGCATGTGTTCTAAATACGTAGCAATGAAAGAAAAATAAACACAGGCCTGATTAGTGAAATTAGTAGATAAATTGAAGAAGCAAATTAAACATCAATGTGATAGTCAATTATTCCGTTGTTATTAGAGCTGTCATGGGTTGAATCGGTCCGCTTGCACGTGAGTGACACGACTAACAATTGTGTTTAGGGCTTAAACACGGAGCACAACGGGCCTAGCACGACCTTGAGAAAAGTATCACAACACGACATGGTGTTATAATAGGCATAACATATTTGATAGTTGCTTGCAATACTTTTTACTTTATGAAGTAAATATTGAATGAGTCGTAAATCAAAATTAGTACTAAACTTTGATTTTAGGCTTAATTAATGTGTCAACACAATTAAATTTGCGGGCTAGCAGGATGGCCTTTACATCGTGTTCGATCATTAGGTATAGATTTGTGGTTCAATATTACACAACGAATCCATACTAGATCGTAAAAGGCACGACATACACCATAATATAATTGTATCTAACCAAATAAATTAAATAAATTATGCTAACACGAAGTTTAGTTCGCTGATTCGAGTTTTTAATTCGAGTTAAGATGTGATTTTATGTGAGAGTTTTTTATTGTAGAAAAAAATTAGATGTGACTATTTATGAGAATTTTTTACTATAGTTAAATTTAAATTTTAAACTCAAATAAGTGAAATAAACGGAGCCTTAACAACTCAACACGGTCTATTAAACAGCTCTAGTACAACTTCATGAGACTGGTACAGCATTTGAAGCGGACAAAAACTAAACAATGGCATCATACGTAGTTCTCTATTTAGCAAGATATTAGTTTTTTTTTTTTTTTTTTTTTTGTGCTGGAAATTACGCAAGACATTAGTTAGTTCCATAATGTTTCATCGAATTTTCAGAGGATTAGGACCTTGTCTGCTAGTTATGGCGGCAATTGCAACTAGATGTCCAAAGCCTTGAAACTCCCACACTTCCACTCAAAAGCGCCAAACTTTTTCGATTTTGTCTGACTACGATTTCCAAGGTTTGTGGAAGTCCTATCAACTTTTTGGTTTTGGGCCTTTGGCCCTTTCCATGATCACCGTCTTAAACCCTTGTTTTCGAATTTATTCCCCTCTATTTTCTGTTAATGTCGTTTTCCACCAGATACTCTTGTGTAAATTGTATTTGTTACCATGCTTCACATATTTCTTTTGGTTTATGGCCCCTCCTTAACATATCTTTCAAATAGAGGGGAAGATATCATTTATAGAAGTAGCTTTTGTTTTGTTTTTTTTTTTCAAGACTAATAAGTTTATCATTATGACAATAGTTCTTCACAAGATTGTAACGCCTCGTTCATTTTATCGATTTAAGTTTTAGTACAGTAAAAAACTCTAAAAAATAGTCACATATAATTATTTTGTTACAATAAATAACTCTCAGAAACAGTCACATTTAATTTTTTTTATTACAATAAAAAATTTTCACATAAAGTCACATCTCAACTCGAATTATTTTGTCCCGCTATAAAAAGAACTCATATATATAATATATTTGTTTTTTTTTTCTTTTGACAAAAAAGTGTAATTAATAATTATTTTTTTAAAACATGTATTTGAGTATGGGGGTCTTTCGCATGAAGATTATATCCAAAAACAAGCTTGAAACTTATTTACATGAAATACAGTGGCCGGAGAAAAAATATGTCAGGAGTCTTAAAGAAAGAAAATCTTTTCGCGAAATGTCATTAAGACCCCAAAGAAGACATATGACATGGGCCGTTTAACAGTGACCAATGTGTTGAGGATTCCATTTTTCTTACCAACTCCTGTTCGATACTTTCTCACGCGAGTTTTTGGACCGTGTCCCGCACGTGCAGTCAAAGTAATTTATGACTTTATAGAGTTTGTTGTTTTTTTCCTTTTTAGGTAAAAAGTAATTTCATTCCTTACCAACTCCAGTAACCAATTGTAAAAATAATAATAATAATAAGTAAATAAATAACACAATTATTTGTATTAAAAAAATAGAAGGTATCTCAAAATAAAAATAAATAAATAAAAAATCGGGGCAAGTGCTATAATCTAACTTTAACTTTAATTTTTCCAACCAAAAGATTTCAATAGTAATTTTGATATATCATTTCTTATAAATTTCAGTTTTATTCCCATTTCATAATAAAAATTTTAATTGCGCATCCAATTAATAATTGTAACTTACTAACTTATGACTATATTCTAATTACAATAAAAATTGATATGTCTTTTGTTTTTAATATGATGTTCCCATTTTCTTACCCCACCACTACTAAAAAGTAAAAACCATATAAATATTTTAAAAGGAAAAAAAATGCTAATAGGGGTCCACTGGAATCTTTCCTTTCACCTCAAAAATTAATTTCGATGAGTCAAATGTGATTTTTTCCCTTTTTCGTAATAGATATAAAGTAAAAAAAAAAAAAAAAAAAACATGGATGCCTAGCTATACCTATACATTCTCCTTTGAAATAAAAACAAACATGTCCTTTAGTTTAGATTGGCTTAAAAATTTTTTTTTTTTAACTTATTTAGTTTAAAAGTTATTTTTAAATTTATTTAGATAGATAGTTATTTTTTAGCATTTTAAACACTTTTAGAACAAATCATATTGCTTATGAAAATTTTTTTATTTACATTTTTTATTTTTTATTTGTGAATAATAAATTAAATATCTCATTTATATCTTTTTATTACATTACTTTTTATAATAATAAGTGTTTTTAACTTTTTTATCAAAATAGATTCAAAAACTCCTTTTAGATATAAAAGCACGGTTTTCAGATATTATCTAAACACTAATTAAAAAACTCCAACTTACATTTATCTTTTTTTACTACTTAAAAGTACATCACAAGTTATGATGATCAAATCAAATCACAAAGTTTGTGGAAGAGAATACGATTCTTCAAATTATTTGAGTATGTTATTATACATGCTCACTGGTTACGATGATTATGACCAAAAAAGATTTTTTAAGGTCTCGTTTATTTTACCGATTTTAATTTTTAGTTTTAGATTTATACAGTTAAAAATTCTCAACAAATGTTATATCTAACTTTTTATGCTACAGTTAAAAACTCTAAAAAAATATCACATCTCAATTCGAATTGAAAACTCAAATCTGCGAAGCGAAAAAGATATAAAGTTAAAGCCTTCTTTTTTCTTGTTTTTTTTCTTTTTCAAACACATTTTAGTTTATTTTATTCTTTTGTTGGAGGCCCGGAACATTTTGGACACATTCTCTGATTTACTTACATTATTATAATAGTATATGCGTTTGCTTTTGTAAGAAATAAAGTGACAGAATTTAATCGGTTAATGCCTTAATGGAATGTATTCTTCCTCAATTCAAATTTAATATCGAACTCAGAAAATTTGAGTTATTTGCTGCCTATAAAACCTATAGCGTACTCCTCTAAAAAAAACACTTATCCCTCTTTTATTTTATTTGTTTTAGGAACTTATCCCTCTTTTATTACTTTTTCTTTGATAAACTTTTATTACTTTTTTTAAAAGTTTATTTTGAATGCAAAACAATTCTTTTTTTTTTTTCAATTTGAGGCTTAACTTTAATTTTGAAGGTAGGTGTGAAATACTCGTTTAGTGTAAAATTTATTGAGAACACAATAATTTAATTAATGTGATTTTTTTTATTTGAGAAAATATATAATTTTAAATCTAAGGGGACGTTTGTTTCCTATATTCGTCCCTGATTATGAATCATGATTCATAGTTATTTATAGTGTTTTCTCTCACAAAAAATACACGTAAAACAAAAATAATTTTGAATCATGTTCTGAATACATAAACCAAACGTACTCTAATACTTTTTTGGAGGGAATTTTAAATCGAACACTTTTTTGGAGGGAATTTTAAATCTAATACTTGTAAATACAGGTATCAATTTTATTTTATACATGGCAATATTACCAAAATTGTATTTCAGCCAAAAGGGCAAAAGAAACCCAAAAAAAAAAAAAATGTCGCCCAAATTTGTACTATTGCGGAGGAATCCATTTCCAACGCGCTACGAAGCTCGAGTCGGAAAGACCAATGCAGAAAAAACCCCTAATTTTTTTTTCCTTTTCTTTTTATTTTTTATTTAAAGCGAAAAACCCCTAGTTAAGTTGTGCTCTCTTTCGCTGTGTCACAATCTCTGCTCTCTCTAAGAAACAACGCCCCCATAACCAGAGGAGAGAGAGAGAGAGAGAGAGGGAGAAAGCGAGAGACGGTGAGACTCATTTCCGTGCGCCACCAACCCCCGACGCTCACAACAATGGCGATCGCCATCTGCTTGTCTCCCGCTTCCTCTTCTTCGTCTTCCTTATCACTCTCCAATTTCAATCCTCGCCGCTCATTTCTCTCTTCCTCCTCTTCCTCGTCTCTCCTCCACCTTACCGTCAATCCTCCCACCGCGGCCGCCTCCTCCTCCCTCACCTTCCACCACCGCCGCCGCCTGAATCATTTATTCGCCGCGTCAACCGGCGGCGGCGGCGGAGGAAGCGATAATGGACACGGATCTTCCGGAGGCGGCGGCGGAGGTGGAGACGATCATCACGGTGAGGGCGGCGGATCGGACAATGCGGGACGCAAGAACAGAGCGGAGGTGCTTTTGGTTCTGAAGGACGCAGGCCGGTCTCTGGAGAGCTTGCCTAAGGACTTGGCTGCGGCGATTGAGGCCGGGCGGATCCCCGGATTGGTGGTCACCAGGTACTTCGAGCTCGAGAAGTCATCGTTGTTCCGATGGCTCATGCAGTTCGGTGGATTCAAGGAGAGGCTGTTGGCCGACGATTTGTTCCTGGCCAAAGTTGCCATGGAGTGCGGCGTCGGAGTCTTCACCAAGGTCATTCTCTTTCTTTCAGCGACTCACTTATTTTTTTTTTTGTTATTTATTATTAAATCGAGTTAATTCTCGTCTTTTTGAATAATTTGTGCAATTGTTTTTAACTTCTGTGTGAATACGAAAAAAGTTTACGACTTTACCTTGGCAATTGAGTAAAGATTCCCTTAAATAAAAATAAAATATGAATAAAGATTCCATCACTCAATTAGTGACTGAAAGTTTTCTTTTGTCAGGTTTTGTTTTCTGCAAGAAAATAAATAATGAATAAATAAAGATTCCATTATTCAATATCTGAGTGTTTCTGTGTGGATGTGGAAAAATGAGATATTCATCTAAACAATTCGATAACTATTTCTGTCAGATTCTACATGGTTCTCTAGAACTCCAAAATTTTTCTTACCATTCTCAGAGTTCTACCGTTCTTAAGTTGATATAGGCGGATAAAGTGAAACTTGAAATCTAATAACCTTTAAGAAAAGGCATAATTCAATTACGCCTCTCCAATTTGTGAGCATTTCTCTAGTTTCACTCTAATTTGCAGACCCGGACTTAGATGGTGAAGTTTTTGGGGATAGGATATATATAGTAGCCATCAGAAGTAGAGAAACATAAATTTTACTTACCATTTTTATCATCTAAAACGTATATTGGATATTTGGATTGGTTTGACTAAAGCTGTTTTTATCTTCTCTTATGTGTTTTTGTTTTTTTGTTTTTGTTTATCATATTTTAGACTGCTGCTGAGTATGAACGCCGCAGGGAAAACTTCTTCAATGAGCTTGAAGTTGTTTTTGCAGATGTGGTATGTATCTTTTTTTCTCTTCATCAATTGGCATATCGTTCTTTTCATTCTTGTGTGTTTTGCATAGCTGTTTTTGGAAAATTTTCTGTAAACCATAACAAAAAATTCAGTTGTGTTTTGTACATCAAATATTTATTGTTTGTAAATTGTGTCTTTAATTTTGTTTTTCTTAGGTAATGGCCATAATTGCGGATTTCATGCTTGTTTATCTTCCTGCTCCCACTGTTTCTCTCCGACCGCCGCTTGCAGTTAGCGCGGGACTGATTGCCAAGTTTTTCCATAACTGCCCTGATAACGCTTTCCAGGTTATGTCATGACATTTTGCCAACCTTGCCGTGAGAAATGGTATATAGTTACTAATATGATCCCAAATATGTGTCCACAGGTTGCTCTCGCTGGGACATCGTACTCGTTGTTGCAGAGGCTTGGTGCCATAGTGGTAGGGCGATTTCTGGTTACCTGCATAATTGCTTAGGTTATATCTGAAATAAAGTTAGATGAATTAACATATCTTTGTCGTTTCTGCAGCGCAACGGGACAAAGCTTTTTGCAGTGGGGACTGTTTCGTCACTGGTTAGTTTTCATAAGCTTTCCATTTCATTTTTGTCGCCGTTTTTCCTTATTCTTTGTTAATTATATTAATAAAGATTTTGAGTCCTCATCACTAAAGCCAAAAGAACATGGACAAATATGTATTTCATTTCTGTGTAGGTTGGCACGGCTGTGACAAATGCTTTGATAAATGCAAAGAAGGCAGTTGATAACTCTGCCGCAGAGGAAATTGAGAATGTTCCTATACTATCGACCAGTGTTGCCTATGGTGTCTACATGGCAGTTTCTAGCAACCTCAGGTATGTGGCTTCTTTCATTTAGCAACCTCAGGTACTAATCTTCTGCTTTATCAATTCAACTTTTTTATGCTAAGGTGATTGCTGTTTTTTCCGTAATAACCCTCGAGACCTGTTGTGTTATATAGTTATCAGCTTCTTGCATCAACTTAGAGAAGCTTTATAGGAAAAATATTGATTTTGCAATGATTTACCGAAACATAATTATGATGAACAGGTACCAAGTACTGGCCGGCGTTATTGAACAACGTATATTGGAGCCCTTACTACATGAGCAGAAGCTTATACTGAGTGCACTATGCTTTGCTGTTAGGACTGGAAACACATTCTTGGGTTCATTATTGTAAGGATTTTTGTCTTGTGCACTTTTTGATTTCAAAGAATTCTTTTTCCCTTGGTTATTCACTCCTTTAAACTTTTCTAATTGCAGGTGGGTGGACTATGCTCGTTGGATAGGAATTCAGAAGTCCCATTAGTAACTCAAGGGATGCATCTTCTCCTTTCTTATGATTTTTTTTTTAAAAAAGTTTTTATAAAGCAAGTTGGTCTGGCCCACTTTCAAGATGTTATAAAAAGGTTGGCAACCTAACGAATGGATTCGTGGGAGTTTTGGGTGCTAGGGTGCTTAGGATATTCTTTGTCCTGGTACATTTTACCGCTCATTACTGAGCGAACACGATTTCTGTTTCTAGTCCGTTATGATTCCGACCCCATTCTTCCTCTTCATATTGTGAGGAACCAAGTATTGTGTTACAGAAACTTGCATTGTTGTGCTTTATTTATCTGGGAATGAAGTTAACTAGGTTTGTGTAGGCCATCCATCTGCCTAGATAAGATTCTGTCACTTTTTTCTTTTCCTCTTTTAAATGATTTGGTTTCCAATACAAATATAAGTTGAAGAAAATTTACTGAAAATTGTATCTCGATCTGTTGTTGCCTTGAGCATTTTCACTTTGGAACCGAAATTAAGGATAACGGTAACTACATTAATTGAGATTAGTATATGCAATTATTGGTGGAAGAAAATGGATGCATCTGCAGTTTCGAGTGTTTTAACTTCTTCTCGTTGTCAGCCCAAAATGATTCTGCGCGGAGGCCACAATGAAAGTTAACCTCACAATCGGGCTTCTAGACTAGTTCTATGCCCAAGTAAAAACCCGATTTTTCTCCTGAAAAATTCTCTGCTTTGATTTCTTGAGAAATCTTGAGAAAGCTATCAAAACTATAACTAAAACAAAACCTACAAGGGTAGAACCATAATTTTCTATCCCTATTTCTTCTTTCATTCCTTTCTAAATTCTCATCATAGACATTGAGATTTTCCCCATTCTTGACCTGTTTTTCCTTTCCTGTTACTAGTTATGGTTGACAATGAAACTAGAACCACAGTATCCGTACGGAAACAGTCATAATTTAGGCAGTGACTTCGTCCTTTATGCATGGCCTGTATCTCACCTCCGTAATGTTCATCCCAGATGTATGCACAACGTCACAACATTCTCTTCCTCCAGCCTTTATATATACACAACACAAAAAGCAAATAATCAAAATTAAAACAAGCTCATTTCTCAAACTCAATCATAATCGGTTAACAATATTATTTGCCAAACAAACATAACAGAAAGCTGACCTCCAAAGGTAGTTTAGCCGGTGAGAAGATGCGAATCTTGGCCATATGATCCGCAGAATGGTTGCCACCGGAAGAACAAGCAGGCAAACCACGAGGAAACACTCGAATATAAGTCGTTGTAATTTGATCTTTTTCGGTAGAATTCTCCACGGAGTCGAAGAAGAACACATGAGGAGCTTCACAAGGATTGTTGGTAGGCCAGCGGGTGTTGAACATGTAGAGAGGTGGCCTCATGCTTTTCCAAGGCCTAAACGTCTCGAGGGGTTTTCGAAGAAAGCTTCGAGGCAAAATGTTTTCGTAGATATGCACAGAATAGCCCCATGAGACGGAGAATGTCCAGTTGGTTGGCCTGTGGTGACATATTGTCTGCTGGAGAAGGCGTGACTGGTCTGATTTTGCAGCCTTCATGAGGTGGTTAATGGAGTCGGGACGGTTCTTCCCGGGGAAGATTGGGTCTATCGTGTCTATGTGGTGAAGGGAGAGGAAAGGCGTTTGTGGATGAGATGACAATAGGCCAGATACGTCTCTAAATAGATCAATCTACAAATACCAGGAAAAAAAAAAGGGAAATACGTAAATCATGAGCTTTTAATCTTCTTTTTCTTCAAAACAAGATGACGGAATAGTTGGACTAAATTGAAAAACGTTTTCATTTTCAAGGATTTTTAACCACAATGAAGTAAATATTTTGCATTTAATGTCAACTATTTTTGTTAGAAAAAAACAGTTACCATGTGACTAAGACGTAGTTATTTCTATCAAATCTCAGAACTATTTATCCATTTTAGAGTCAGGAGTTAAAACTGTCAAAATATATGCCAAAAAAAAAAAATGTTTGGGGGATCAAAGTGATACCATACTTACATTCAGAATCTGACAATGCTAATTATTGCTCTTTTTTTTTTTTTTTCTTTCGAGTGCTTAAAGGGAAATTAGATTATTTTTAGTTATTAGTGCACATAATTAATCTTGGAGGCACAGGAAAATTTCTCACCTGATGAAATCCATTGTTATGAGTCAGAGAAATTCCTAGATCAGAGAGACATGTGAACAACATGAAATCACTGACCCACAATCTAGGATACCTCTCAAGACAAGCATCTAACTTCCCCGCCAAGGAAGCCACTAGAGGATAACTCATAGCATAACCTGCTCCCCCAAACGCCATTTCAAACGAGAAATCGAAATTCGACTTGACGCACTCCGAATTAGTTCCTATGTAAAACTTGTTAGTATGGTCGTACTTGGCCAGAACTCCTACCAAGTTATCGACGGCAAGAACGGTGTCATCATCCGCCATGACGTACCATCTCACGTCCTGATCACCTTGTCTAAATGTCTCCAAAACGGTACGAGCAATTCTCACCTGAGTTGGCTTCAAGAAATTGGGGTGTGTTTTCATTTTCGTGAGGTCCTCGTTGACCCGAAAAGGAGGCCAAGAAGAAGGCCAGGGTAAGAACTCGTTGGTAGGAGGTCTGTCTAGGAAGAGATAACCCCTTGTAACGTTTGGTCGCCACCAAGCTTGGGAGTAGAATCTTTTGTTCTTCCATGTGTTCATCGATCCAACAACTCCAAACACAATGTGACTAAGATTGGTAGGAGTACTAAAAGAGGTTTTAGTAGCACTTGAAGATGGCCATTTTTGTTTAACGGTTGCCAAGAGATCAGAAGGTTGGTATTGGTGAGTGTCGAACAAAACGATGTAAAAGAAGAAGAGGAATAGGCCTGAAGTGACCAGGGATTTGCACAAAGCTGCAAAAGGCAAAGTGCCCACTTTTTGTTGCGAAGTTGAATGGTTGATTTGCACCGGAGACGACATTTTGGAGAGGTAAAAAAGAACAAAACGATTGAATGGAAATGTTAATTTGAAAAGAAACTGAAGAAATTAGTTTACAAGAGAAGGGAACTTTATATATATACGAGTGGAAATCTAAAGGGGGTATTCTTAAGGCCATGATTCTTGTTTAAGTCTTTGCTAATACATGTGATGGGTAGCCTTTTTAATGTGTTTCTTAATATTTTACGCGAATAGTATGTTTTGTGAGACCGTGTAAGGATGGGTTATGCATTTCGCGTGAGGCCTAATGACATAAATAGACTTGCATACTTTTTTGGTGTTTTTTTGTAACTTTTTAGGTAGGAAATCCGGAATTACAAATTTACTTTGCATACTTTTTGGTGTTTTTGAACTTTTCTTTAGGTAGGAGAACCGTAATTACAAATTTTACCAAGTGCCATAATAGAGAGAAGTAGGGCTTGCAATTTGCATATTGCACGTCTTTAGCCATAGAGCCGTAACGGCTATCTAGGGCTACATTTGAAAAACCTTCTTGCGAAGAGTCTCCATAACTCTAAAACTACATTAGCCCAAGAATATAATCTTCAAATATTTAGGCATCGAGTTGTTTCTTTCTTTTTTTAGTTGTTTTAACTAATTGGTCAGCAATTAATTACTATCGGTTTAAAAGGTTAACTTAATTGATCTTGAACTCCTTTTCAATGGAGCTACTAGATAGACATGTATAAGGGGAGATAAGAATCCTTTTGATATTGATATTCAATTGCTATCAGTTTACGTATTCATCTTTCCCCTTAATAAGTATTAACATTATCATTTTTTAAAAAAATTTAAAATTAAAAGTTCACTTTTATAAATTTCAAAGCTGAATAATCATGACAAAAAATAGATTTAGCATTTAAAATAGTAGTTCTTTGGAGCACAACATAGAAGAGCATAGGAAATATGTAATATTTATATCTTTTGGTCTTAAATATAGCATTTATATTGGGGAAGGTCTGATAGCTAAATATTAACCTAATAAAACAAGTACTGGTACAATGGTCATAGGAAGGGTAGTGCTGCCAACTTTGCCTAAGTGACGGATATCCTAAGACCATTTTTATGAAGTTTTACGTATTGTTTGGCCGTTCTTCAATTTAGTGGTCCCTTCATGATATATAATGACTACTCCCTAAGTAGCCAACCTTGTTATATATAAGCTGAGTAATTCAAAGTTACCTCTCAAAAAATAAAACATGAAAGTTTGGCTTTTAGATGAGAAAAGTAATAGGATAGTAACAGAAAGAAGCCAATTAATACTATCATTAAAGATAATAGAATAATTATTAGAAGGAAATAATCGACATAATAATTATTTTTGTGCTGTGATTTACAGTAGGTTAAGCTTGATCAAATCGGTGTTTAATTGACCAAGGGGAACGGTTAAAGGGAAGCCAAACTAGCGAGTCACATTGTTTGGACCTTTTTTTTTTTCACTAAAAACACGCAGAGAAGCGAAGAGAATGGGGGCATTCTAGTGCTAAATATGCATTCTACGTGATGATAAACATACGTTTTGACCCGTGAAATACGACATTAGGTTAAGTATGATTTTACAAAACACAAAAACTACCTTCAGAAATTGGAAAATATTTTTTATTTTGCATTGCTGACGATAAAATTTACCCGTATTCGTTTTGGGAGTAAAAGATAAGCAAAGTATAGATCTAGTATATGTAAGCTAAGTATAGTGTCTATATACGTATCTAAATATGAATATTCTTGTCTCATCAGAAGAGAGAGAAAGAGAACGTGCTTGGAAATAATGTCATAAAATAGCGAAACATCACTAAAAAAGCAATCGAGGAAGTGCTATGATGAACGAAAAGTTCAGGGAAGGGCGGGGGCAGCCGATTCACAGGAGAAAAAAAAAAAAAAAAAAAAAAAAGGGGAAAAAGAGAATAAGTGGGGGAGAGTGTCACAGTCGTGTCTTAGTGTCCATGAATCAATAACTAGAAAAAGAGTCGCCATATGTAAGTTTGTGTATAAATAATTTATATGAAATATCTATCTGTAGTTTACAAATTTCTCATACAACTGAATCCATATTAATCTTTTGCCATACGTCTCAAACTATCACTCTACTTATATAACACAATACGCATACAAGCTACTTAGGTTATGAGGAAATAATGAAATTTTAGGAAAAAAAAAAGTTTTCATTACTCATTAAATTGGTTCCTCCTTTGCTTCCCTTTCTTCAGGAACGACACTAATAAGTCAGATTCCAAGGGGAGCTGTTTTCATTTAGAAAGACTGATGAACAATGTAGAAAAAGTAATCGTAATGGTTGGTTATGTATCCCGAGGGCCGTCGAAGGACTGTGTCTTTCTCAGATTCCAGTGGAGGCCCTCATGTATGCTGCGCAAGAAGTCACTAGTGGAATCAACTAGACATGCCGTGGGCACAGGCCAAGGAGCCATACTGCACACAAGTGCATCCCCAGGTCGCAACTGCTTCCTGTCCTTGCCATCAAATGAGACCCACGCATGGCTTCTGCTATTGAAAGGAACTTGCACGCGTATCGTCACATGCTCTGGTAATATCAGAGGGCGAAACGATAAGGAGTGTGGACAAATTGGCGTAAAAAGGATTCCAGGAACCTGGAAATATGGAAAAGGGAATAGAAATTATGATACAGTAGAGGTTGATAACATAAAAAATATCAACCATAAACTCACACTAATATGGTTCAGAAACTAGCTTTTTCCAAAATGATTGCGACTAAGGTGATGTCTGCACTATGATCTACTCAGTAAATGTAAAACAAACCTGGGGATGAACCATTGATCCTCCAGCAGCCAACGAATATGCAGTACTTCCGGATGTTGTTGATAGAATCAACCCATCACCCTGGACACATGTGACAAAGGAGTTGTCACAGTAGCACTCCAGGTTTGTCAGGTATGATGATATCCCACGGTCAATTGTGACTTCGTTCAGAACAATGACAGGTTCTTCAGTCTCGTACTCATTTTTGGCGGCATCTCTAAGCACGCGGCACATCAACCGATGCCGCAGTGTGATACTAATGGGACCCTTTAGAACTGAATCAAGGCATTCTTTATAGTGTTCACTGTCTGAAGAAAGTTAAAGAAAACTTTTGAACATGACAGACGAAAGGTAACAATCATGTGACGACGAGGATTCCTGCAACTAAGAAGCTAAACAATCAACATGTTCAAAACACTGATTGCTTACGAAGGCAAGAAGGCAACAATAGCTGAAGGATACAAAAAGGGGTCATAAAGCCCAGAGACCCTAAAGAAAATGGGACAACGGGAGGAACTGGTCCCTTGAACATGGATGCTGCCTGCAAAGGATCATTACCATCCTAATTAGATGCTAAAGATGATATCAATAAAATAAAGACGTCACTACTATTAGAGGCTGATTTCAATCTGAAAGTTTGTAAGACTTCATTTTAGGAATCATTAGGACATGGCAATAGGTAAAAGAAATGAAAACGTCTCCCAACAGAAACAGCAGGACAAACAGATTACTGTAGATCCAAAAATACAACAGTTTCAGGAAAGCAAGCACCCACATGATATGAGATTAGAAAATCTAGTGGGCAATCAATTGTTAAAGATTACGGTGCACCAATTGATACTAGCTTCAACTATTCACTTTCTAGTTTTCAACTCTGCTTAAAATCACTTTTCACTAATACTATTGGTCTTTCCAAATGCTTTGACTACAAAAATTCTGTCATTAACACGTAAAAGAGACACAAAGAACGATAGAATACTGATAGATCATGAAAGTATATTCCCTCGATACTATAAGTACTTGAGTTCTGAGAAGTATAATATATATAAGGTATGGTCAAAATCATCACATACCCAGAGGACAGTTCCATCTCCACCAAGAGTTACAACGAGATCAACTTTTCTATGCAGGTGCGTAATTTCATTATCTGTCAAGAAAACAGCAAAACTATTAAAACTTTACATACCAAAATCAGGGCATAAGTAAAATGCAAGTGAAACCACACAGATATTCAATTAAAATTTAGAGACAATCTGCACTATGAGTCTCGTTACACAAACTACTTCTAATAATATCACAGCAAACAAAAATATGATGGGTGTGGATGGCATGCATGTTTGAGCAGACACATGTGCAATTTTCCATGAGAAGCATCAAGTAGTGGCGTTCATAGCAATTGGTCCAAATGTCCAAGACAGAAATCGCACTTCCAATATGTGACGGAAAATAGAATTATACTAGAAAACCCGTTTAAAAAGATCTTTTGCGGTGGTACTTTCGCCACTCACCGTCTTTCCAGGTATGGACAAAGTTGAAGTCAGATGACTCTGTTAGAAGTTCAGTTCTCACACGTGGTTCCACATAAATGTCCAACTTTTTCTGCTCTTTTAGCCAGCTGATTGAAGTAAAAAGACAAATGAATGAGGGAGCGGAAAATTTTTTGTCCTAAATACGGCTTTTTAAGTTTAAAAGGTTAAGATAGAGTTCACAGAGGTTAACTCTAGTATAATACTGGAAGCAACTAGAGAAAAATGTTTGCTTCATTATCTATGGAAAACTAAGGATATCTCAGTATCCACACCTGACCATTTCTGCACAAAGAATTTGCACAGAAGTTGAATTTGGTTTTGTCAATATAAGTACAGTCTGTGGGTCAGATTCCCACTTCAAAGAAATCTGAAATGAAGATGAGTATTTAATTAGATGATAGAGTGGAGACGCCTGGAAACTGAATTTCACAGTAAAACGACTCAACTCTTGCAACTCTTTGTCAAAATTTCACGCGAAAACAGAAAAATAAAAATACATAGGTGGGCTCAGGAAACAGATAGCAGAGAAAATACCTGTTTACTGCTGCGCTCTGCAGTTGTAATATTTCCTCTTTCAAAAGAGACAATGTCATGCTTGTGTTGGTCACTGTATTCACCCTTGCAGCACCATGAAAGTTTAAATGATGCCTGTTTTATGCATATGCAGTTTTAGTAAATAATACTCTGCGAAGTGTAGGCAGGGATACTGTTATTTGCAACAGGTTTAAGATCTTGTTGTACTGATTTACAACTGATTACACTTTATGTACATGAAGTTCTTTGTGAACAATGAGAGTATCTGTTCAACCATGAAACAGAAATCTAAAAAGTGGGCGTGTAGCGATGGACTATATCTGCATAGTCATAGAAATATAACGTAGTACTAGTAGAATAAACATGGTATCATAATAATTATTAATCATAAATTTTGGATTAAAAATATGTATGTTGGGCTACAAACACTAATAGTTGTAAAGTAGTTGTGGCACTGTTATATTTAAACATGATGCTTCTAGTTATGGTAAGTATGATGTTCTAGTAGATATAATTAACTCAGGCAACAGAAACAACCATAGACTTTGAATGCTATTCCGTAAAAAGTCCCTTCCAAAGAGAGAGTTGGCAACAATTGCGCTTTTTTTGGACTATATCAATGAAGGTAATAAAGCAAGAAATTGTACTAGAATAGTGAAGCAGAAAATGATTAACAATACCAAAAGAAAAGGTACCTTTCTTGTATATTTATCTGGAATCACCTTTGAATCAGAATTGGCTTCCTTATCCTGAAGAACCTCATGCGAGCATAATCCGTTACTCCCACAACACTGTTCAAGATGCTTATTAGATTGCCTGGCCAAGTGCTCTCTCTTGTCATCATCCCTATGATTCTCCTCAAGAGACATATCTGTACAATAAAGTCAAAAAAATACTGTTACAATGCATATAAGTAAAACTCATTTTTCGTAAGGCAGAGATTTGCCTCAAATAGATAGTTTGCAGAAATCTCTTAAAAACCAAGTTGGGCCATAAAAACCAACTTAAGTGTCTCCATTACCTTACAGATGATTATCAGCAAACCAAAAAAGAAAAAAGAGACTAAAAGTAATTCAACCTAAAGGAGTCTCAAGAACAGTTTGTCCGGTACTTTACGCGTGTTCCATAAAATGAAAAAGTTATCCTGAATGCTTAATAGTTTAACGGCTGAAATCTGTTCACAAACGTTCAAAAAGTGTATTTCCTTAGTCATCCTTGACCACACTAAAGTATTTAAAAGTGCAAAACGACACGTTGGAGCTAATTAAGGCATGTCATTCAATAGAGAACCTTTACATTCCAAATGCAAATTCCGCACCCTTTCCAGTTCAAATTTACGCTTCCATTCGGCTGCCTCAGCTTGGGCAGCAGCCTTTCCTTCAGCAGCTCGTCTCAAAGCCTTTGCAACCGCTGCAATGGGATTCAATGCAAGATCGGCATCTGACTATCTATGTATTTGTGCAAAATACAGTTACATAAACAGTTTTAGAAGGATAAAAACATGATCTTACTTCTCAAAGCCTCGGAGAACTCTATAAGATGGTCATCATTTTGCTGAACAGGAGCTTGTTGAAGAAGTTCCTGAACGGCCTTTTCTGAATTCAGAAGCGAAATTGAACTGAGAAAACCATTCTCAGGTTGTGACGTAGAAACACTCTCATCATCCTGTTCATTAGAAAGAACAATAAAGCGACCATATTTCTTTCAGCAAATTATATTAAAAAAAAAAACAAAATATATAGAAAAATTCCCCATGCCTAAAATAGATTTCAATTTGGCCCGTGGATTCTCGTATTTTCTAACAATTCCCACTCTGTTCAGATTAACATCAATCCTTGGCTTCTCCAAACCACTGCAATAAACTTGATCAACCAAAAATTCAAGAAATTTCGCTAAGCACTCTTAAGAAAACAAGGTCTTTATGCTCAACAAACTCGACAATTATCCATTGCCACACAAAATCATAATCTCACCGAGCAAACCAGCCATTAAAGGATAGAATTGACATCGCAATTTGAAAAATCAAAAACTAAAGCAAATAACGATGTGCGAATTTCAACAATACACATAGACACATATAAATATACACATACATAAATATATGTAGAGAGCTAGAGAGAGAGAGAGAGAGAGAGAGAGAGAGAGAGAGAGAGAGAGAGAGAGGGAGAGGAGGTGATTACATTGGAATTGAGCTTGCTGGGAGACATGGCGGAGGTTTGGTCCCTTGTTTCTCTCTCTTCTGTTGTCTTTGGCTTTCCTTATTGTAGAGAGAGAGAGAGAGAGAGAGAGAGAGTTCTGTATGATATGATGTTGACTAGTGAAATAGAAATAACATCTTTGCAGAGAGAGAGAGGAAGACGAAGAAGATTTGCTTAGTTGGAAGGGAGTGGAAGGCAGGTGAGATAGAGAGAGAGAGAGAGAGAGAGAGAGAGGTTGGAGGATATAAGAGACGAGAAATAAGTGGAGCCCACAAATAAACGCGTGGCGAGTCAAGGGAGTGTTGGGTGTGCAATGCAGTGCCGCAAACAAAATTTTGGATCTCTACAACCACCCAAACTTCATTCCATTTTGCAAACGACTCCTCTTAATCTCCTGCTTCATCGACAGCCGTGGTCCTTCAATATATTATGCGTATCAGGATTTTTAATGATCCAGATGATAAGGCCCATTATATCATGATCATAAAAAATTTACAATATTTAGCATTTGTTTGGAAGAGTGAAAAAGTTGGGAGGACAGAAATTAGTGGACTGATTTCGGAGAATAAAAAAGACAATTTTGGGTTGTTTAAAAATTGAAAATGAAAAAAATAAAATTTTTATTAAAAAAAGTACAGTAAGAACTTATTATTTATATAATTCTAAATAATTGAATATTATTGTGTCATATCATTTTTTCTTTATTAATTGAATGACGTTGTTTAGAAGCGGTATAAATAATATTCTTTCTTACTATCTTGAGTAGTGTTTTTTTATTTTTTTCTCAAGATTTATAGGGATGGGGTCTCAGTCTTTAACATTTGTGTTATGTTTATTTCACTGACATTTAAATATATTCCTTGCTGTTATACATTTTAAAAGTTATTGTGATGGAAAATAGACGTTGTCATTATTATATAAACTGAACATCTTTCTACACACTAATATTATTGTTGAAAAATATTTGAGAGCACTATAGATATTGAGTACTACCACTAATAAAGAGTGGGTTTAATTTGTGTGTTTTATAGGATTTGCTTTTTATTGTTATATGGTGTTAAGTTTATATAATAGGATTGAAAAAAATAAATTATTCATAATTTTTTACTTTTTCAATACAAATTTATTTGATGTAATTTTAATCAGAGTTATGGTCCATTTAATTCGCTGATTTGAGTTTTTAATTCGAATTAAGATGTGACTTTATGTGAAAACTTTTTACTGTAATAAAAAAATTAAATATAATTATTTTTTAAAGTTTTTTATTATAACAAAATTTAAATTATAAACTCAAATTGATAAAATTAATGAGACTATTAACATAGTGAGAGGACAATAAATTATCTAAAACTGATTCTAAAAATAAACGGGCCTAAAAAAAGGTCTCAAACAATTAATACATATTGGTTTGATGTATGTGAAAAATTTGCAGCGTCGTCCAAGAAGGGGGCTAGTCAAAAGGCATGGTGAGCGGACAGTACGTCAAACAAACAGAATAGCATTTCATTATTGAAAAAAATGTCCGTATATCTGTTTATTTCACTGATTTGAATTTATAATTTAAATTTTATTACAGTAAAATTTTTTTACAAACAGTCAGATTTAATTTTTTTATTACAATAAAAAATTTTCATATAAAATCACATTTTAACTCAAATTAAAAATTTAAATCAATAAATTAAACGGCCCTTAATTGACACAGAGATTTCGATTCTTAGGATATATTTGCAATCAATTTGTAGGGGCAATGCCACGTGTGAACGCATATGAGTTGACCCATTAAAATTCTAGTTGTATTTCGTCACCTGCGACGTATACCCGATGGACTTTTGACTGTCTAATATTAAATTCCATAACTCCAATCAGGTAAATTATTCGTAATTTTTTACTTTTCAATACAAATTTATTTGATGTAATTTTAATCAGAGTTATGGTCCATTTAATTCGCTGATTTGAGTTTTTAATTTGAGTTAAGATGTGACTTTATATGAAAACTTTTTATTGTAATAAAAAAATTAGATATAATTATTTTTTAGAATTTTTTATTATAATAAAATTTAAATTATAAACTCGAATTGATAAAATTAATGAGACTATTGACATAGTGAGAGGACAATAAATTATCTAAAACTGATTCTAAAAATAAACGGGCCTAAAAAAAGGTCTCAAATAATTAATACATATTGGTTTGATGTATGTGAAAAATTTGCAGCGTCGTCCAAGAAGGGGGCTAGTCAAAAGGGCATGGTGAGCGGACAGTACGTCAAACAAACAGAATAGCATTTCATTATTGAAAAAAATGTCCGTATATCCGTTTATTTCACTGATTTAAATTTATAATTTAAATTTTATTACAGTAAAAATTTTTTACAAACAGTCAGATTTAATTTTTTTATTATAATAAAAAATTTTCATATAAAATCACATTTTAACTCAAATTAAAAATTTAAATCAATAAACTAAACGGTTCTTAGTTGACGCAGAGATTTCGATTCTTAGGATATATTTGCAATCAATTTGTAGGGGCAATGCCACGTGTGAACGCATATGAGTTGACCCACTAAAATTCTAGTTGTATTTCGTCACCTGCGACGTATACCCGATGGACTTTTGACTGTCTAATATTAAATTCCATAACTCCAATCAGGTAACAATTGATAATAAGACATATAAAACGCTTAATAAAGTAAGGGGCGTTGGAAGGGCAAAACAGGCAACACAAATTTGAAAAATCCTATTGTGAATGATAAATGACATTCATCATCATATTGTAGCAGATGACATGGATATCAATCCACTGTGAAACATATAAAAATCATCCACTAATACATACTACAGTCTCATTTATTTTACTGATTTAAATTTTATTACAATAAAAAGATCTAAAAAACAGTCACATTTAACTTTTTTTATTACAGTAAAAAATTTTAACATAAAGTCACATCTCAACTCAATTTAAAAACTCAAATAAGCGAACTAAACGAGTCTTACATAGCATTTTGTAAATTTTGTGAATTTTTCATATTCATTTTTTTTACACTTTAATTTTTTTATGTGTTTTTTAAGAGAGTAATTTTTTCGTATGTGTTCTTATTTTATTTTTAATTAGTTAAAATAAATTTCTTCATATGTATCCTTATTTTTTTTAGTCAATGATTATCTTTGCACATATTCATTTTTAAAATAAATTTAAAATTTTTTAAATAATTATAATTGTCTTTAACATGACAATACGTGCGGAATACACGTAATAAATAGCATAAACTATCATATGTCACGTGCTAAAATCTCTAAAAAGAAAACTATGCCCTCTTTATTTTCTTGTTCCTGCTCGAAAGCCTCACCGTAACACGATGCAATCACAAATGAGGTAACGTTTGTTTCTTATATCCGTCTATGATCCTGAATCATAATTCATGATTCTTTAAAGTATTTTTTTTTATAAAAAATACACATAAAATAAAAATAATTATAAATTATGATTTTAAATACATAAATGAAACGATACCTTAAAAGACTTTCACTTACCATTCATCATAAATTCACTGTTCCATATCAATATGCACTTTATTGAAACTCTCTGCTTTTGACAAACCAAAGCTTCAAATTCTGTTAATAAATCGCATTAAAAAAATTTTATCTGCTTTCTTAAAAAAAAAAAAAAAAAAAACAAAACTTATATTGGTTTTGATTTATAAGGCGCGTTTAAAGTGACGTTTGGTAAAAGAATTCATATCATGATTTGAATAATAGTTTATGATTCGTTATAATATTTTCTCTCACAAAAAATACACGTAAATCAAAAATAATTCTAATCCATGAACCAAACATCTCCTTATCATTTTAAAATAATTTTATTTTTTGTATAAAAATGAAAATAAAAAATATTTTTAATCTCAGACAGAAATTATTTTTAAAAATGAATTTAGTAGTTTTATCAAGAGATTATTTTTAGTATAAAAAACTCATTAATGTCTCTCTGCTCGAGAGAAGAAAAAATAAAAATAAAAATAATTAAATGTTATTTTTTATTTTTTTCTCATTTTATATTAAATTAAAAAATTATTTTTTTTATTTTTTATTTTTATTACGTTAAACGATGTTTTAAAAAGATTTTTATTTTTTATTTTTTAAAAATTATAAAAAATAAAAACAGAATCAATTCTAAATAGGATTATAATTTCTTAAAATTTTATGTACGCCACTTTATGTATCATTTCCTTTTCTTTATTTCTTTCTTCTTTTCTTTTTTCTTTTTCAAAGACATTTCTTTTTCGAAATTAAGCAATGACACTTTTGTACTTTCCAAATTAATGTCAACGTTTAGTTGTTAACTAATTATCAATGCAATAATAGATCTTTCTCCGTAAGAAAAAGAAATGATGTCACGGTAAGTGTTATATGTTATTTTTAATCTGTAGACTTTTCCATCACTTGTAAGTGACAAACCGGTCTTTTTTTATTCTGAAAAAAAAAAACCGGTCTTTAATCGAGTTTTTTTACAGTAAAAAATTCTCACAAATAATCACATTTAATTTTTTTACTACAGTAAAAAACTATCATATAAAGTCACATCTCAACTCGAATTCTAAACTCGAATCAGCGAAGTGAACGAGGCCGACATACACACCTCTTTTGCTGGAGGATACACACCTCTTTTGCTGGAGGACTTTGATGCAGTTTTTTTAAACTTTGGGGTTAATTCATTAAAATAATAATGTTGATGAAATCAAAGAGAAGTAAAACTTGCACACTAATATTTGAAATATATTTCCATTTGCAAACTTACTATTCAATGTCATAGCCTCACCATAACCTTGAAACTCCAACAAAAATGTTTTAGATTTCATTTACTACTATAATTTAGTATTTTAGCTTAAAAACTACTGTCCTTCATTTTTAGAGAGTTACCCTAGTAGGTCAATCATACAGGTAGTGCAGGTAGTTAGATCAAGTAAATCGTATAGATTTCAACCGAACAGTTAGTTTTTAATACAGATTTGACAGCTGAAAATAGAAAATTACTGATAGTTTATTTTGTCTGATTCTACCAGAGAAAGTCTCTTATTTTTATATTTAAAAAGCCAATATTTTTCTCTTCTTTGCTTTCTATTTTTAGTAATTTTATGTTAGGGCAACACACAGACAGGTTGGAATATAAAAGGCTTGTTCATTTGCACTCAAACTAAAAAAAAAAAAAAATTTGAACTCAATGTACAATTTTATTTAAGTTCGTGTTCTTTTGTAAAATTTGAGTTTGAATTTGAGTTTTAACTTGAATTTTAATTGAGTTTGGGGTTAAAATCTTAGTTCAAGTTTTTCCTTTAACTCAAGTTCCTAAACTCAAACTTAAGTTAATGAACAATATTTTTTCTATTCTTAAAAACACTATAATTTTTTTCGTTTTAATTCCGATTGAAATAATTTATTTTTTTATGTGTTTACAACGAAAAGACGAATAAAATCTCACCTATATACCCTATTAAAATTTTTCATCATCATTGAGTTTTTATTAAAATACTATTTAAATACAAACTCAAGTTTTGATCCACCCAAATACAAACTTAAAAAGATTCTCATATTAAACCATAACTCAAATGTACACAATTAAACACAAACTTAAGTTACAACTTCAACTCAAGTTATAACTCAAATTCAACTCAAGATCGACACTCAAGTTTAAAAACAAACCCAAAGTTTCAATCTCTAAACGCTCAACAGTTTAAGTGGGTCGGAGAAGGATGGGAATTTTTGGGCCTTTTTCCTTTTTTTTTTAATATATTTTTCTTGTTGCCATTTCTTTTTAGGTTCTAACATGCACAAAATAACAAAAATATTGTAAACAGAATATAAAAACAAAATACTCGCAAACTTTTAGCTTAAAACTCATCTAGCAAAAACCCAATATACTTACAGGAAAATTTCTTGGGGGATTCAAACTGTGATAATTACATTACATGGCAAAATTTTATGCGTTAAGTTGAAACTTAACAAATTTATTTAAAAATATTAAACAATAGTAAAACTACATAATAATTATCTTAAATGGCATCATATTTTATACTATATAATTATATAATCATTATTTTAAAGATATCAAATTTTATCATTTTTATAATATTTTAGAGACTTGACAACTAAACAGGCCTTAAGACTTGGTTTCTTATATTCTTTTCGGGTCTAACCGACCTCATATATCCGTCGAAAGTTCTGCCTACGTCATTGACTTCGAAGCTCACTAAGCACCATGGTCACGTCGGATCTGATTTCGACGAGTCTTGTGCATGCGCGTGTTAACCCCCGACATGTTATTCTTTTGAATCTACTGGGCCCGGACACCATTCAATTGACAAAGAGAATAGAAAATAAAACACTATAATGATACTAAATTATTTAGAATGATATAAATAATAAGCCTCTATAAAATCATAACAAATCATCTTTTTTTTTTTCATGTGCAAATCACGTATTTTTAAGTAATTTTGACAAATACCTCTTAAAATAGTACCATTAAGAATTTTTGAATCTCAAAATTAGCTTATTCAATTTTGCTCTCTTAGAGTAAATAATTTAACAGATTCTTACTAAAGTGGTAGCCTATTATAATAATAGGGTAAAACTTCGCAAGGATGTTTAAGGGTCAGTTTTTGCCATTTTCTCTGTATTTTTCGCTTATGTGTTTCCCCATTCGGCATCCAAATTCGACGAAATTTAGCCCAATAGAGTAGCATTAACAAATTTTAGCCCAATCCTAATATTCAAGCCCATGCTAAGAGCCCATGTAGTTTTTCCAAAGAAAAAAGCCCATTAATAATCCCATTAAAGGAACAAAACAGAACTCCGCTTGTTTTTCTCTCGCTCCCTTCCATATCTCCATCGGACTCTGTGCATCGGAGTTACTGACAAGACAAAGCAACGGAAACTCCCACCCTTTTTTGCTCACCAGTTTTTTCGTGGCAAATTCTCTTCAAATCAAGAGCCCTAACAAAACCCTAATTCCCTTCTTCCCCAAATCCTCTCTCGCCATATCGCCATGGACACTCTCCAAGCCGCTTACAGAGACGAAGACGACGAAGAAGACGAACCCGCCAACCTCACTCCCGCCATTGACGATCTCGCCACAACCGCCAACGACGCCTCCGAGCCTCCCGCCACCGCAACCGACGCGATCCCCGAGGAGGCGACTCCGTCAGAGCACCAAAACGGCGTCGTCAAAACTGATCCGGAGGCCTCCGACGACCTCTCGGAGTCCGTCAAGTCCCAAGACAACGATGATGAAGACGACGAAGATCCACCGCCGAAGAAGCAGAAGCAGCTCTCTTCTTTGACGGACCAGGACCAGACTCCGTTGCCGCAGCCAATTGGCGATAACGACGGCGCCGCCGCGGCAGCAGCGTTGCCGGCTCCGGCGACGGTCGCGAAGAAGTCGAAGAAGAAGAATAACAACGTGTGGGTCACGAAATCGACGCGGAAGGGGAAGAAAAAGAATAAGGCGAATAACCACAATGCCGCCACGGAGGACACGGTGATGATCGCTCCGGTGACGAGGTTCCCGGACAAGAGCGACGACACACCGGAGATGAGAATCTGCTTGTCGAAGGTCTACAAGGCGGAGAAAGTGGAATTGAGTGAGGATCGATTGAGCGCGGGTAGTACCAAGGGTTACAGAATGGTGAGAGCCACCAGAGGAGTTGTGGAAGGGGCTTGGTACTTCGAAATTAGGGTTGAGAATTTGGGGGAGACGGGGCATACGAGGCTCGGATGGTCGACGGAGAAAGGGGATTTGCAGGCTCCGGTTGGATACGACGGGAACAGTTTTGGGTACAGGGATATTGATGGAAGTAAGGTTCATAAGGCTTTGAGAGAGAAGTATGGAGAAGAGGGATATAAGGAAGGTGATGTTATTGGTTTCTACATTAATTTGCCTGGTGGCGCAGCGTATGCGCCCAGGGCGCCGGAGTTTCATCTCTTCAAGGGACAGCGTTATTGCACTACCGAGGCGAAGGAGGATCCTCCTAAAGTAGTTCCTGGTATGTTTTTTTTTTGTTTTTGTTTTTTTTTTTTTAGCTTCTACAATGTGGGTGTTATGAAGTGTTTATTTTGCATCTAATTCATGTCCTTGATGTGAAGTTATCTATGGGATAGATGTCGTAGTCGTAGGTGTTAGAAATTGATGCTTTCTGCCACAGTTGAACTTGATTAAATTCTAGGCATCGTGAGGCAACTATATGTATTTCAGGTGGTTACCAAATGTTCCAAGCATTTTTGAAGGGTCTGTGGTGACAAGGGTTAAATGAATATCTGATGACATAACAAAAATATTTACTTGTCAGACCTGTTGATTTAGAGGAACTTGTTAGCATTTAATCTTATTAGATTAGACGAATATCTGATGACACAACAAAAGTATTTAGGGTCCGTTTGTTTCATATGCTCAAACTCAAATTATTGATTCTGCTACAGTGTTTTCCTCTCACAAAAAAATTAAATTTTAAAACTTCAGAATCAAGATTCGTGGTTTGAGTATACCTTCTAAACGGACTCTTACTTGTTGGGTCATGTTTATTTAGAGGAACTTGTTAGATTTTTATCTTGTTGGATTAGATGACTAGACTGACAAAAATCTTGATAGTTGATACAGCGGTTTGATTATCAGACCAGCTTTATGTTACTCTATTGCTGCCTTGCACTTTCTCTGCTTATGAATGCTACTTCATCCGTATTTGTCTTGCTTTAGCAAAAAAGACCCGTGTTTTTCTTGTCGGTAGAGCAAATGTTAGTGTGATATTTTGTATGCAGGAAGTGAGATATCATTTTTCAAGAATGGAATATGGCAAGGGGTTGCTTTTAAGCATCTTCCTGGTGGCCGCTACTACCCTGCTGCTTCGATGTATACTCTTCCCAATCAACCAAATTGTGTGGTCAAATTCAATTTTGGCCCTGACTTTGAATTCTTTCCAGCAGACTTTGATGGACGTCCAGCGCCTAGGCCCATGATTGAAGTTCCATATCATGGCTTTGAAACCCGAACTGAAAATGGAACGTCAAATGAGAAGAAACCTTAGCCAACACCATTCAACCTTCCTAATTGCTTGGGATATGTATCTGAGTTTTCATTTGTTTTTTCATTTATTTGCGGGGTCAAGCTTAACTTATAAATTAATTGATGAACAGTTGTAATCTTGGCTCTGTTTAGAGGAGAGAAATTCCACATGGGAATTATGAAGCCGTTCCATGACCCTCATGATATCTTGATAATTACTAATGGATATTCTAGTTCTTTTCATGTCACGTCTCTTTTTAATTGTTATAAATTAATTTCACTTTGGTCCTGATCAAAATTAAGTTTCTGTCATAGTTGTCTCCACTCTCATACTTTTCTACTGGTATCATATACCATTTTTTTTTTCAAGAGCTTGCACGCATCAGGGCTAGCTGTTTCACATATGGTGCTTTGTCGTCTATAATTTACTTCTCTTCTTTGTTTTCTGTTGAGGGATTCTAATTGTTTCAACGTTCCTCTGCTGAAATGCTTAATGGTCAATGCAGATCATCTGCATAACTGCAAATACTTTGGCCATTGGCTATGGAGGACGCAATATAATGCACGTATAGGATCTCTCTGAGTCTCTCTCTCTCTCTGTCTCATACATGTACATGCACATACATTAACAGTTAATTCTTGCTCAGCTTCCAGTCTCCCAGGTTGTTAAAACAGGCATGATAATGATCATGTCAAATCAGGTTTTATGACTCGTCCATCAAGGGTTCACAACTTGATGCTCATCAATGGGAAAATGGATGTCTATTGAGAGTAATGTACACTACCTTTTAACATGTATTTACGTCTGTATCTTTCTCCTTTGTTATCAGTTACTTATCACACAGTTGTGTCTTTGGTGGCAACTTGTCATTTAAGGTAATTTATTTTTCTTTGACAGGAAGTTCACATCTGTTTGAGCAATGAGCTTGTCGTGGAGATTGGGTTGTTTGGTTATTAGATTCATGCCATGATTCGAATCATGATTCGTGATTTGTTACAGTATTTTCTCTCACAAAAAACAAATCAAGAATGATTCTGAATTCATGTACCAAACGTCTATAAGAATTGTTGTGATAATCTCTTGTTGCTGCTCGCGTTGATTTTAAGACTCCTAAAATCAGGTAGACAAACAAGTCCTTGCTTATTGAATCAAGAGGCAGTAAAGTGTAAATGCAACCCCTTGGGGTAGAAGGATAATGTGTGCGTGTATTTTAAACCAAAAAAAAAAAAAGCAATATGCTGTAGAGCATCTTAGTAAATGTTTAGAGGAGATGTGAGTACATGGTTAGAATGAAATTGTAACATCTTGAGAGTGAAAAGTTATTTTATTTCCTTATTTATCATCATTATTATTTTTTTCCTTTCTTTTCATTTATTTACTTGACATTTTCCCGTAGCCAACCTGAAGAAAAACAAAGATTACCTTAAACACACGCACACACATTTTTATTAATGTACTCCACAGCAAACTGCGTGTATGCATTACATGTAGGACTTGACCACAAAAAAAAAACAAAAAAAACAAAAAAAACAAAAACAAAACAAAACATAAACTAGATATTTAATAGGTTTTTTTTTTTATTTTTTATTTTTTTATTTACAAAATAGAGTTACAAATCTAAACCGTCAATAAATTAGGAATAGGATTCATGTGAAAACCAAGTTCATTAAGGTGAATTTGAATTCAACCACAAATTAAAAAGGAAAAAAAAAAAAAAAAAAGAGAGAACCAGGATTATAGCCAGTTGCATTTTAAGCCCTTCATTTTGGATATCCTAAACACTTTACAATCTTCTAACTCTTTAATTGGCACATCATTAAATATTCAACTGCACATAATAATTTAAATCATGTTGTTCATACATTGGTCATGTAACGAACTATTAAACTGCCTCAGAAAGCCACACATTTGTCTTTGTTGAACTTAAGACCTCAGTATTCTTGTTGTGTTTACTTTTAATCTTTTAATGGAGGACTCTGTTATCTCAAGCCCTCGTTTGACCAACCTCCTTCTTGGTCAAACTCACAAATAGCAATTTTAAGTTAACCATATCAAGTGCTGTAAATGACACACAATCAAAAATGAATTGGTGATGAAACCTGCTGAGGGAAAAAAAAATGGTGCTAATAATGTAGCGGAGAATTGAGACCCTCTTGAGCAGACAATGGATGGAGAGGCTGTTGCCCTTTGGAAGGGAAGGATGGTGCTTTCCTGAATGAAGGACGTTTCTTGAGATGTTTGAGAGTTCTCTTTGTGTAAAATGTCCGAACGTAAGGTGAAGCTTGCTCCCTAAACTTGAGGATGGCGAAGAAGATGAGTCTAAAGGACACAAGAAGGCACACAATAGCTGCTAAGTCCCACCACTTTGAATGATCCAGCCTAATGCCGAGCATGGATGTGAGGATGAACTCGCCTTTCAGCTTTGTGCCGTTGGCTAAGAAGGAGTCGAATTCAAGGCCGATCATGTCATTCTTGTATGCTCCCTATAAACAATATTGCAAATGTTACAGCAGAGTGAGTTCTTTTGCATGATATTACTCTTATAGGTAATTTGAGGACTGAATTATGTATACTTCTTCTAGAGTTACCTGTAATCCCCAAGCACCATAATTTATATATGAAATGGGATAACGCCAGAGTGGCTTAGGAAGATCAGGAATAGAGCGAAAGAATCCAGCAGTCATCATCATAATCGCCTGCTTAAACAGAGTCAATAAAACTGAAAAAAAAGGATATAAACAAACTAATAAAACGTAAAAGAGACTAAAGAAAAAAAGAAGGTATTACAAGATTTTCATTATCAGTTTAGTATAAAATCTTAGTTTAAGTTCTGTAAATGGGTTATGTGAGTTCCGTTGTTGTTTACCACCAATGGTTTTTTTTTATCATTTTTCGAAAGCGTTTTTCTTACCAGATAGCCAGCTCCAACTGTGACTCCCATCAAGAAGTTGGGAACAAGAGAAGCTACAATCATCATGGCACTCTCCACGGTCGCAATGCAGCTGAGGAGATCTAGGCCGAAGTAGAGGTAATTATGAAATTCGGGCCTAAATTTCACCATGTAGTAGACTATGGTGGCCGTGGCAAGCGACATGAGAGCCAGGAAAGGGAAGGACGAGAGGAAGTTTGATGCAACATAAACGCCGACCCCATAATGCCCATTCAGTCTTTCCTTGTAAAAAACCTGTTTCATGAAAGACATCTTCAAGCTGCTTAAATATATCGCAATTCACAAGAATACAAGTCGAACTAGCTAGTTTTGTACCTTCATTTCTTCAAGGAAGGATGGGAAGCCTCCAATGGACATGAATGTCATGAAACCAGCTATGAAGCCACCGCAGGCTCCTCGTGCCAAGATTGCTGTGAAATTCGTGCCTACGTTGAAGAATATGGAGCCGACACAGAGAGATAAGGCAATGTAGATCCCAATTCTTACCCAGTAATATCCCACATCTCTGGCCATGTTCTTGAAAGATCTACAAGTCAACACTGAGAGCTGCTTCCACCATTTCGCCTGGCTCCCACTTCTTTCCGATGTTAGTCCTTCCTGCAAAATCATCAAGTACTTGTCAATGATTTACAAATATCATGTCCAAACACGAGTAAAAGTTCAGAGACCAAAATGAGACTTTTAACATAGTTTAAGGACAACTGCATAACTAATTATACAAAAATGTATATATGTGGTCAACAGACTCAACACTTCATAAAATAGTCTACATGCTTACAATGGATGAGATTTCTCGAATCCTAGCTCTAGCCCTTTTTGCATATTCAGAGCATCTGTACTTCTCAACTAGCATTGCTTTTATCTTCGCTATCGGTATGTTCATTAGGGGATCTGAGGATACTTCAAAGTCCTGAAATTTTCTAAGATATCAGGAAAAAATAAAGGATAATATATATTGAACCAGAAATTAAGAAGGAAACTGGAAAAGGAAAATCAAACACATACGTCTATTCTGTGAGAATCCATTAATGTGGATGTCACCTTGTCGAATCCCGAGTTAATACAACGAAGAAAGTGATCAGAAGGATTTCTCCTACTTGGACATGGAAATCCAGCTTTGGCAAAGAACTGCAATACCATTATAAAATTCTCAAACTTTCCTCTTCAAAATTCAAGTCTTCAAAAACTTCAAATGAGTAAAACTTCAAACAAAACTCTTGCATGCAATGAAATTCCATTAGGCCATTTCACTAGTACTGCTTTGCTTTTACCTCAACAGCCATCTTTGCAAGTCCAAAATAAGCAGTTTGGCCACCAGAAAGCAAAAAAAGGTCATCAAAAAGCGCAAAGACTTCGCTGCTCGGTTGATGAATGGAAGATATAATGGTTCTGCCATCAAGAGCGATGTTCCTGAGAGTCTGAATGACAAAGAAAGCCGAGGCACTGTCAAGGCCACTGGTGGGTTCGTCAAGGAACAAGAGACGAGGCTTTGTGAGGATTTCAAGTGCAATGCTTAGTCTCTTCTTCTCACCACCACTTAGACCTCTTAAGTGCCAGTTTCCAACAAGCCCATCTGCACAATCTTGAAGACCCATTTCCATAATTGTTGCCTCTACAATCCCATCTATCTCTTCTTTCGATAGAGTGTTTGGAAGCCTCAAAAGAGCTGAGTAAGTTATGGTTTCTCTTACTGATAGAGTTCCCAAAAGCAAATCCTCTTGTGTCACATAAGCCTGATTGATATAACAATAGTAAACCAACCAAGTCATTGTTCAAAGTCAGAAAACTAGATATTTGACATATGAAAAAAAAAAATAAAAAAAAAATAAAAAAAAATTGTACTTACAGCAAGACCATAGTCTAGTCTCCTTTTCTTCCCATTGAGAAGAACATTTCCTGTCATGACAACATTTCCTGATAGTCTACCTGCAACAATATGCATTACACAAAATGTGAAAACATCTAATTAGTATATAAAAAGAAGACTAACTAATATATATAAACATAGGATATGTATAGCTGAACATAGAGGAGTTTTAAGGAACCTGCTAAAGAATCAAGAAGAGTTGATTTGCCAGACCCGGAAGGACCCATTATGGCCACGATCCTGCCGGGTTCAGCAAACCCACTCAGCCCATCAAGCAGCCGCTTTGAGTGTCCATTTCCAAAGTTTGGAAGCACAACAGTCAGATCTTCCCACACCAAATACATCAACTGGTCTCTTCCTCTCGGTAAATCTATATCAGACTCCGCCGTATCTCCGGCCGCAGCGCCACCGTAGTACTCTATGTCCATAGCATTCATGTCAAAAAGAGTGATTTTTTTTTTAATTTTATGTTTTTTGTTTGTAGTACTATGGCTAGCTAGCAAAGGAACACAGTTATATATATATATATATATATATAGTGGTCTCTGGTATGGTGTTACATATTAAAAGATATACTGATCAAAAGGTGACAAATATGGGCACTAACGCTATTTATTACTCAGCAGGGACAGTAAATACCTACTCAACAAATTAGGGGCAAAATTTATAATGGAAGAAACAGAAAACCCAGGAAACAAGAAATCAATAAAAAGGTGACATGATTTATTAATTTTAACAAGGTTGACGGGCAATGAGTGGAGGGTGGCTTTCAGCTATTACAGTTGAATAAGAAGACAGATAATTAAACAAAGTAAATATTGGGTGTGACATGCATGTGTAGTAAATATTCTCACCAAACACTTCATGTTCTTCATATGCAACTTGAATATGGCACAACAGTGGTAATACAGGAAAGAAGTACTAATCCAGAGAGTAGTGTTTATTAGTTATTACGTTCGGTTTCTCACAACTATCATGTTTTTCCTTGTCTGTTCTCTTAATCAAGAATCTTTTGCATTTCACGGATTTTTTTTTTTTTTTTTTTTTTTTGCACTCTTGGGGTTGACAGAGAGAGTACGAAATGTGCATATGAAGTAGCTTCCTCGACATGATTCGGTTTTCTCTATAGTATACTAGTTTGGCACTATTTTTTTGTCCATGTTGATACAACTACTTGTTAGCGGAGACACTATAAGGACATTTGTGATTGTTTATTCTCCACTATTCATCATTCTTCTTCTGTAATTCCATTGCTTGTGCATGGTAAAATATAGTACTATGAATTTTATCAAGAAACATTTCTAAACCCATTTTGCATTATAAGTAACATTTCTAAATTCAAGTTGCTTTATATTTTACATAGGTCATTCACATGGATTAATTTGTTAAGTCCCGTGTTTCTAAATTACCAAACAGAAATAATCACCTTAAGGTAATGGCCAATTTCTATATAGCCTTAGAAACATATATTACCTCATCATTCTAAAGCTAGGATGACTTAATAATCTATATTATCAAATTATTTCTCACTGGATTGCTTACTATAGATTGTAATGTATAGTTAACGTTCCACCAAATAACAAAAATTTTCGTATAGATTAAAAGAAAAAGGTAACAAATCTGCTGTAATTGTATGGTTAACACTTGATATGTGGGAGACAAAAGTTAGGTGAGTAGTGGTAATAAGTAATAACAGCCGGTAAAAAAGGTAGAGGGGACCCTTACTAGTAAATAAGCTCAGCAACCCCATCAACATATAAACACGATATCATGATGACAGTGCAAGGACCAAGAAAACGAAACTTATCGAAAAATCATTTCTTATAAGATATTCTTTTCACATTTTTGTTTGAAACAATTTGTATAATCATATGCATCCTTTTTTTTATACGAGTGTAATATCGTTATTTTCTACGTGCAATACTCAGTTCACTCAAGTGTAACATTCAAAAAATATAATTGATCTAATACATGTAACATCGAGTTTTACACTTAAACCCACCAAATAAATTTATGAACAATGTCACATGGGAATACAAAAAAATTGTATTTATCAGACGAGTGTATGTGCTGGATTTAAGACTTTACTTAAAAATATAATTATAAAGTAAAATCAAGGTTTTTTTTGTTTTTGTTTTTGGGACTAATAAGTCATCTTAAACATTAACCTTGTAATAATAGATGTATTGAAAAACAGTTTCATAACGTACGTTATTTTCTTTTTTTCGAATATAGATTTTAGACAAGCTACTTTGAACAGTTAACTGAACGAATTCTTTCTCCGTTTCTCCTACGTCTGTGTTTTGACATAATTGCTAGCTAGTATAATAAGTACGACATACCAATATGGTGTCAGAGATCAGAGCACCACATTGTTCTCCTTTACTGGGAATCCTTTATGTAATGGAAGCGTAGCAATTGCTATCCTATTGTCCTTTTTAAATGTAAGTTGACCTAAAAAAAACTTAAGAACGTTTGTTTCTTCTATATTCGTCTCTGATTTTAAATTATGATTCATAATTTTTTATAGTGTTTTTTCTCACAACAAATACACGTAAAAAACCAAATCTCCTCTTATTGAAACAAAACCACCCAAATTAATGCAACGTAGAAAGTCGCTTTAATTTTTACGCCCTAGGGACAGCAAGGGTGCAGACGAGCTTCCATTTTTAAGTGAGCTCTCTCTCTCCCTCTTTCTCTCTCTTAAAAACACAGATCATTATTATGACATGTATTTATGAGTTAGACAAATTTCTCTTGGGTGAAGTGACGACTTGTAGATTTTTATTTTTTTTTGGCAGAAGAAGTGATTACTTGTATAAGTTAGCTACTTGTAAAGTATATTCATGCTTTTGTTTCGTTTTCTATGAAGTGGGTGTGGACAAGGAGGTTGGAGTGGAAAAGCTGTGGAGATTTCGTGTTAGAACAAAGCACATGGCTTGTTGCATGCCTGCTTGGATTTTTGCAAATTCAGTATTGTTATAAGATTTATATGGAAAAGAATTCTAAAACAATAAAAACCGATTTTTTCAGGACTTAGATTTGTGTGTATACTATACGTACATACACACACATACATATTTATACACCCGCATTTGCATTCTTATCTAGAGGGGGCGGCAAAAATGAACTGAAAACGGCATTAGAAAAAAGGATGAATAGAAACGACAATAATACAAGAAAACGACAATAAAAATCAAAGTAAATAAGAAAACGACAATGGTAAAACCAAACGACAAAAAGTACAATACAGACGTCAAAGGCATAAAACATACAAGGGAAAACGGAAAAGTAAAAGCATATGCAAAAGACAAAAAAAAAAAAAAAAACAAACAAACAAACAAACGACAATAAAAGGACAAATGAAAATAATAATAATAATAATAGAAGCGGCAACATAAATGAAAACAACCAAAAAAAAAAAACAAAACAAAACGATCAGTGAATAATGCAAGGAAATAGAATATATAATAAAACCACGGGAAAAAATGCGGACTAAACGGTAAAACCACGATCATAAAAGATGAAAACGACGGGATAAGAAACAAGTAACTTTAGAGCTTATAAACGACAACAAAAATACATCCACCCTGAATACTTAACGACAACAAAATGAAAAGGAAAATAAAAATTTAAAATTACAGAAGGTGACAATAAGTCGTACGAACGGTAAAAACACGACAACGACAGGAACACAAAAACGACTACGAAATGGAAAACGAAATAAAAGTTTGAAGTCAACAAACAAAACACGGAACGACAACAAAAGACAGCATAACGTATAAACGACAAGAAAAGACATGAAAACTGAAAAACAGCGGCAAAACGAAATGATAGTAAATTGTTGGGCGATAAAGATGTGTAGAATGACAATAAATACCAAATGAGAATAACAGGTCCCAACGACAGTAAGCTATACAACGAGAACAAGAAATAAAAGGACAATAACATATATATAAATGAAGTCAAACAAATTAAAAATTAAAAACGACCATGAAATGGAAGCGACAACAAGAAGAAAACGACTAAAAGGAAAACGACAAGTAAAACTGAAACAACATATGATGTGAAAAGGCAAAAAGGACTACTCGGTAAAACGACAATAAACAAGATAAAAAAATCAGTCGATACTATAGCTTATGAACGACAATAAATGACATCTAAACAGGAAATGGATAATTCATTATTCAAACGACAACTTTAAGACAACAATAAACTATACAACGACAAATCTTAACAGCTGTAAAAAAAAAATGATAACTGAAAAGTGACAAAATGTAAACAAAAAGAAAATGTATAACAATAATAATACTAAAGATTAAAGAAAGCGGTTGACAAAAATTAGGAAAAATAATTTTTTTCAAAAAAAAAAGGAAAAATAAAACGACAATAATGAGGACAAAGCTGGTAAACGACAATAAAACCAGAAAACGATAAGATAAGAATCAAACAATAATGAAACTTATAACCGACACCAAAAGGAAACGACGGTAGAATCTTAAACGACAAAACATGTAGAAGAACAACAAATAATACAAACGACAACAAATAACAGATATGACAATAACGAGAACACTCTAAACGAAGTGAAAGTTAAAAAAATTTAATTAAAAAAAATTAAAAAAAAATCCAGACTTTAGCTATGTTTCAGTGGTCATATTTGGCTCAGCAGCATATATATGGTTCCTGATTTTATTATATTTTTCTGTTCATGCTCTTATTTCTGCAGGTAATTCCAAAGGATATGGACAGCAATAAAATTGTGAATTGCTAATTGCAAATACTAAAGCTATACAATGTCCGGAAAGGAAATCACTCCAAAGTAGGGAAGTTTTCCCATTTGTGACAATAATACCACTCGATGTTAACAACCATTAATGTAATATAAAACAGGAACAAGTATGGCTTTATTCTTTGATAAAATTTCTTGTAAGAATGTGACAATGACTAGCTACACAAAACCACAGAAACTGGTTTATTTCATTCATGCTAGCACCCTTGAAACTGCAGTTTAACATTGATTTTTTTATTTTATTTTATTATTATTTTTGGAATGCTTCTATTGAGGTATAGGAGAGCTAAGACCTTCTTGAGAAGAGAGTGAGTAAAGAGGATTGTGCCTTTTGGAAGGGAAAGAGGACATTTTCCTGAAGGAAGGCCTCTTGCCAAGATGTTGCAATGCTCTCTTGGCGTAGAGGGCCTGAAAAAATGGAGAAGCTCTCTCTTTGAACTTGAGAATTACGAAGAAGAGAACGCGGTACAAGACGAGTATGGCCACAATAGCAGCTAAGTCCCACCACTTGGAATGGCCTAATGAAATACCATAAAGGTTCTTGATGACGTACTCGCCGCTCATTTTTGCCTGACCGGGTAATAGGGGTTCGAATTCCAGCCCAATCAAGTCATTCTTGAGGCCACCCTGATCAGTGATTACAATAGCAAATGAGAATTGGGAAGCTTCCAAGTGTATGACATGTTATATCTTTCCCACTAAACTAATTTTTCCTTATTCTCTTTTAGTATCTATCCTAATCCTACTATAAAGCATTTCATGATTGTATTTCATCTGAGAGAAAATGCCAGAATGTTTGTGATTTTTTACCTGAATTCCCCACGAACCAAAACTGAGGAAAGAAATCGGGTAGCGCCAAACTGGCTTGGGAAGATCAGGCAGCAACCGAAAGAAACCGGAGGTCATCATTAAAATGCCCTGCAGAAGAAACAAACGCGAAGAGGAATGGATCAAAAGATGCACAAACTATAAATGATTAAGAAGTGAAAATGAGAAAGAATATTTAGGTGAAGACTTGAGCTACTTTTCTTCTTACCATAATACCAGCTCCAACTATAATTCCCATGAGGAAATTAGGGACCAATGAAGCAACAACCATCATGAGGCTCTCAATAACAGCAATGGAGGTGAAGATATTAAGGCAGAAGAACACATAGTGAGAAAACTCCGGTCGGAACTTCACCGTGTAAAAGGTAATGGTCCCGGTAACAAGTGTAATTGCCACCAAGAATGGGAATGCAGATATGAAGTTGGATAATATAAAGACTGAAACTCCATAATACCCATTAAGCCTTTCTTTATAGAAAACCTGTTGTCAAGGAGAAAACCAAGTATTAGCACCATGAAAAATGTTCCACTATATATATACATGTATGTATATGTGTGTTTACCTTCATTTCTTCAACAAAAGATGGGAAGCCTCCAATAGACATAAATGTCATAAATCCTGTTATGAATGCAGCACAAGATGCCCGAGCGAAAATGGCCGTATAGCTATTGCCCACATCAAAATAAATTGTCCCAACACATACAGATACAACTATGTAGATAATTATCCTTAACCAATAATAACCAACGTCTCTAGACATGTTCAAAGATGATCTTCGCACCAACGTTGTAAGTTGCTTCCACCAACTTGCTTGACTTCCACTTTTCGTTTCAATTGTCCTGTCCTCCTGCAAATATATGATATTGTAAGAAAATGCAACCAAAATATACAAGTCACACACAAAAACACACATTTTAGCTTTGTGACACCTTCATCTAGTAAAAGGACACACCAGAAACTAAATTTTGGTTGAAATGCTTACATTAATGGAAGAGAGTTCTTGAATTCTGGCTCTGGCCCTTGTTGCATAATTCGAGTACCGGTATTTTTCAACAAGATTTGCTCTGATTTCTGCTGTGACGACATTCATCAGAGGATCTGATTGTGGGACGTCCTGGAATATTATGATACAAGAATATTTTTTTATAAAAAAAATGTTAAGATGAGAAAATTTTCTGCTGAAAGTAGTTGACCACATTGTGGACTTATTCTGTGTGTGAATCTGATGCAGCGCAAGATGAAGATCACCAGCAGACAACCGGTGATCAATTACCGGCTGACAGCTGGGAGACATGAAGCTGCAGATTGAAAGTTTCCCAATTCTCTTCACATTTGAATTTTAATTTATTTGTTTCCCGATATCTTCTAGTCTATCTTCTAGTATTATTTCTAAATTATTATAAATTTCAAATTTAGAATATTTAAGATTAATTTAGTTTCCTTTTTCTAGTTTCTAAAATTAGTTTTTGAGATTGTTTCCTTTTAGTTTGTTTCCTTTATTTTTATTTTCAATTGCCTATTTAAAGGCTTCCTAGTATTGTTATTTTGGGCGGTAGAAGAATTTTGATGATTAATAAAATTATATACTTTGAGAGATCTCTCAACATATCTATCCCAGTTATTTCAGTATTATGTCGAATTAATGAGTGATTGATACCTATTTTCCTGACATTCGTGAGCGAATCAACAAGTTTATAGAAGTCTTATTTTCCGGTATTTTAATTGAATCAATGGATTTTCCAGTATTCTAGGTGAATCAATGGATAATAGGAATTTATCCTCTTTTTCTTATCTTTTTTGTATATGCCCCGCTACGCTAGAATCACAAAAATTGTGTGAAATTCAGTTAAAGGTAATGCATACTCGCAATTTTAGTGACCCTTTGATGGTGTCTCTGACTTTGTCGAAGTCTTTATTTATACAACGCAGGAAGTGATCAGAGGGGTTCTTTCTGCTAGGGCATGGAACATTAGCTTCAGCAAAGAACTGCAAAAAGAAAAGACACACAAAAGCTTCAGCCACAATTAAACAGAAACGGGCGTGAGAAATTCCATATCTTGGTAAAACTAATAACAATCTTTTACCATTGAGCATGGCTAGTTATCACCACACATAATAGCAAAATAGAAGAATCACAAGGCAAAAGTACGATAATTGAGTCCTGCATTGTTATGTCATAGTTCTGAGATGTTGCACAACAGAAGAGTCCGTTAGCCAGAAAAAAAATATGATAATTGGATCCTACAATGTTACGTTCCGATACGTTGCATGAAAAAGTCACATAACAAGGAGTATGATAATTGGGTCCCACACTAGTATGTGACAGTTCTGATATGTTATTTATTATTATATCCATAACGGTATGTGACATATTTTTCTTTACAAAAATGTGTCAGTTCCAATATGTTATTATATCCATAACGGTATGTGACATATTTTTCTTTACAAATATGTGATAGTTCCGATATGTTATTATATCCATAACGGTAATAGATACATATTTTTCTTTACCATGAGAAATAAAAAAGAGACAAGTGGAGATGTTTTGATAATAGCTTACCTCCACAGCATTCTTTGCTTCTCCGAAATAAACAGTTTCACCACTTGACAACAAGAAAAGGTCATCAAAGAGTGCAAAGACTTCACTACTGGGTTGGTGAATAGACGAGATGACAGTTCTTCCATCACGGGCAACATTTCTAAGTGTTTGGACAACAAAGAAAGCTGAAGCACTGTCAAGACCACTAGTGGGTTCATCAAGGAAGAGAAGACAAGGGCGTGTGAGAATCTCAAGAGCAATGCTTAATCTCTTCTTCTCACCACCACTGATCCCTCTCAAATGCCAGTTTCCGATTAACCGATCAGCGCAGTCGTAGAGCCCCATTTCTATGATTGTTTCTTCCACAATGCTGTTTACTTCTTCTTTGCTCATACTTGTTGGAAGCCTCAAATTGGCTGAATATGCTATGGTTTCTCTTACGCTTAGTGTTCCCAGCAACACATCTTCTTGTGTCACATAAGCCTATCATTTGTAATAGAAATAAGAAAAATTATAAACGGCAGTGTATAAATAATTTGTTTTTTTTTACTCTACATGTCAATGAGATAGTTTATCTTAGACCATATTCCATTATTTGTTGTAACTTGTCTCAATTAACTTTCTTTCAATTCACATGAATTAATAAATAAAGAAATAAGCGGAAGGGCGTTTGAAACTGTGGTCCAAAACCATAATTTTAAAGAATGAACCTCTGGGATCTTACAATAGCACCATAGTCAAGTCTTTTCTTGCTCCCATTGAAAAGAATATTCCCAGTCATGACCACATTCCTTGAAAGTCTATCTGTGCCAGAAAAAAAAAAAAAGAACAATTATTGCTGAGGCACCCTAAGGATTTGCTAGAACAAACTAACTATTCTAATTAAAGACATATTTTCTTCATCATAGTTTGATATTATATATATATATACATATATATATATATATATATATATTTGACAAGGGCCCGTGGAATAGAATTAAAGGCGTTTGAGCCTTTGGAGGGTTATGACACACTGACACCAAGAGTAAGTGAACCTTCAACTAATTGAAATCTGAACCATGCACGTTATTATGTCCCTACTTGTGGGACCTTTATTTAATTGACATGCAATGCATGGTATATTAGGCATCTTAAACATTGTCCCTACCTGTGGGGGCTACTGGGCAAGACATACCGAAGTTAATAATTATATGTAAGTTTTTCATTCAGCTGCACACATTGACTTAATTGTACGTGTGTTTTGAAGGTTGGGGTCATTTAGGCTAAACAGCTAATATATCGTTGGAGTTATACATATATAGCTACTTAATTATATAATTTTCTCTATTGACAAAGGATCAAATCCTGCTAATAGTTCAAATTCCCACCCTCATAAAAAAAAAAAAAGCAAAAAGAAAACCTGTTAATGCCATGTTAATGATGGGGGGAAAAAAAATACAATGAATATTATAATTATATCGGACCAAAGAGCTAAGCCAAAGTCTGGATAATGAAGTAATTATCAGATAGACATATTAATTTCGCTAATTCGAGTTTTTAATTCGAGTTGAGATGTGATGTTGTGTGAGAACTTTTTACTGTAGCAAAAAAGTTAAATGTGACTGTTTCTAAGAGCTTTTTACTTTAGCAAAACTCAAATTCTAATCTCAAATTAACGGGGTCTCAATTGAGATGTTGACTATGACTTGGAATCTTTTTCTTCTTCACGTTTAAATCTGCATGGGATCTGGGCGTGTACTAAAAACCAGATACCATTACAAATTTTCCAGAAATTGAGTTACTGAATAATACTTTAAGAAAAGATCTCTTAAGGGGGGCAAAAAAAAAAAAAAAAAAGGAAACCTTCCGGAAAACTTGGGTAACATCCTTTATATATATATATATATTATAATATAATAAAATGTTTGTCTGCAGATAAGTATTTATGTTATAGGAAACGTATATTGTGGGAATTATTTGGTTTTAGAAATGGCTATATATATCTTCCCATCACTATAGATTCCTTAAATTATATGTCACTTTTTTTCCCCCTTCTTCTGTAAAGATAGATCAATATCCTAATGTTTTGAGTAATAACACTCAATACAAAATAAATTAAAAAAAAAAAAAAAAAAACATAACAAATTTTCAAAAACCCCAAAAGTGAATAGTCTTGGATTTGTCCTAAAAAACTAGAAGGAAAATCATCATGATCCATACTCATTACTCAGTTCCAAAAACAGAGATCAAATGAAAAGAGAAACTTTTTACTGCACTAACAAAAAAGGGTAAAAAAAAAAGAGAGACCTTAATAAAACTCTCATGACAAACTACAACCACCAACACAAAATATTACTCAAAAACGCAAATCTTTCTAGTTTGTAGAGAGAAGATAAAGAACCTGCTAATGCATCAAGAAGAGTGGATTTTCCAGAACCGGAAGGGCCCATAATGGCCATAATCCTACCGGGCTCAGCATAGCCCTTCAGCCCGTTGAGCAACCTCTTGGTGGGCCCATCACCAAAGTTTGGAATGACAACGCTTAGATCTTCCCAAACCAAGTACGCCCCTCTTGATCCGCCGCCGTGACTCCCACTTGCCGACGCCTCTATCTCCATACTCTCTCTCTCTCTCTCCTCTGTCACTTTCTCTCTCTAAACCAAAATGATTATATGATCCTCACAAGCAGCAGTAGTAGTAGTAGCGTCACACAAAAAAAGTGAACTGGTTATAATGGCATGCCCATTTCATTTGGTTTCATTTACTTTGTGCGAATAACAGACACCAAACAACTAACTATAAATGCTGAGGAGAGAAAAAAAAAGATAGAGCCATTATTGGTCAGTAATACACACATTTGGATGTAACAGGGTAGTTGGCAAAAAGCTAAGACGAAATAAATGCTAATGTGGGTCAACTCAACTCAGCATCTGTGTGTGTGTACATATATGCTGTGATATAATGTACGGCTGTAGTTAGGGGTGGTAATTCGTATTAGGTATTATGTTCGTATCGTATTTTAATTATTTTTTTTAATTTATAGTTAATCTGAATATGACTTGTGATATGAAGTTTTTTAAAAATCGTAATACGAACACGATACGATTACTTTATGAGTTGACACAATAAGATCTAAAAATGACATGTGACATGAAATTGACCCGTAAATCTGAAATTGACACGAAAATTATATACTTTTATTTAGTTTTTTATATATTAAAAATAACTTAAAATTTATAACACATTAAATTACAATAACATCCATTGAAATTAAGCAAATAATAGTATAAGATTTTAAATATAACTATCATGATATTACAAGTTCATAATAAAATTTAAAATATGAAATGAAAAATATATGTATTTTTTAGTTTTTTACGAATTTCGTGTCGTATTCGGGTTAGGCGGGTCCAACCCGAAATTGACCATTGTTTTTCGTGTCAATTTCAAGTCGACCTAATTCTGACTTGAACATCTTTTTTCTCAATCTTAACCCACAAAATTCGTGTCGTTTTTGAGTCGTGACCCATATTACCGACCCTAACTGTAACAATATTTATATATATATATATATCTATATATATGTCTTTACATACTAAACATGTATTTACTATGACAGTTCCTTCTAACTAATAACCAATCTATAATCTTAACTCACAAAATTCGTGTCGTTTTTGAGTCGTGACCCATATTACCGACCCTAACTGTAACAATATTTATATATATATATATATATCTATATATATGTCTTTACATACTAAACATGTATTTACTATGACAGTTCCTTCTAACTAATAACCAATCTATATATATGTCTTTACATACTAAACGTGTATTTACTATGACAGTTCCTTCTAACTAATAACCATCGTGACCATATATATATGTATATATATATACACGCTGTGCTTGTTATGTTCTGCCACCTGTAATCTGACGAAAAACAGTGAGTTTGACTCGTCACAATTTAGGCTGCAGTCATATATTACGGAAAGGGACAAATCTAAGACGCGCCTGGTGTAAACACTTTTTTTTTTCTTTATTTCTTTAGAGGAAAGGAAATTGTGTAAACACTTCTAATTCTTTATTTTCTTGTTATCTTTAATTTTCCCACCTTCTCCACACCAAGAAGGAAGAGAAGAAAATTCTTGATAACTTGAAACGATGAAATTTATGAAAATCGTGTTAAGTAATTAAACTAAGTAAATAGCAGTTTTAAATATCTTCGAGTGAATAAAAAATAATATATTTACTATTATTTACTATAAGTAAAAAAAAAAAAAGAAAAAAAAGAGAGATTTACCTAGTAAATTTGCTTTATACTTCTATTTACTCTAAATGTTTAAAAGACGAGTGTTTACTTCGATTGTTTACTGTAGAAATACTTATTTTTAGCTAGTAAGTAAGATTGTAATTCACAAAAAGTTACTTTGCTTGACTACTATCTAGAAATTATCTAACCATTAAATGAGATATTTCTTGAATTTTTTTTTTCCCCTCATGGATTATTCTGGTATTCATAGTGTAATGATGACAAATCTCACCAAAGAAGAACATTAGTGATAAGGCGATTAACTTAACCATAGTGGTAGCGCATTGAAGGAGTCCCAACTTTGTCACCACAAGAGGCTGAAAACTGTAGTAATTAAATTAGACCGATCATAAAGAGAAGGTTGGCAAATGGCAATTAATACCATTAATTCGTCTACATCAACCCATACAAATGCCGTTGAAACACACGGTCCTTTAAGGGGTTGTCGGTGTAGATGGTCGCCCTACGTCTGAAACCGCCCCAATGTGCGTGTATGTATACCATTCTCATATTTTTCGTTTTTCGATTTGTTCCTATGTTTAATTGTCGTTTTCGAAGGTGCTATTGTTTTACTTTTAAAATTTTTTGTCGCTTTTCTGACGTGTGAGTATTGTTGTCGTTTCTTACTATTGTCCGTTTCTTAGTATTGTTGTCGTTTATTGTTTGTAAATTGTCGCTTTATGAGTGTTTTGCGTTTCTTTTGATTTTATTGTCGTTTCAATTTTCAAAAATTTATGCCACTTTTTAAGATTCCATCTGTCCTTGATTTCTTGCTGTTTTCTCGCTCGTTTGTAGTTTGGATATAATCTGAGTATTATTTTATAAATCAATTAGATGTCGTTAATTTTCTAATGTTTCGTGTCAGCTCTTACTTGTCCTGTCATTTTCAGTTATTGTCGTTTTCTATTTGTATGTGTCTTCCTTATTTTACTTCGAGTAGTTGGAAAGACAATTGAGATGAATATAATGCTATGTTTGGTAGGAAGAAAGAAAATATAATAGAAAGGAAATATAAAAGTTATGAAAAATAATAATGATAGAAATAAAATTGATTTTCTTTTATATTGTTTGGTATGAGAAGATGGAAAGAAAATGAGCTTACTTTCATTTGTTTGGTATTAAAAGTTAAATTAGGAGGAAAGAAAAAATTTTACTCGTAAATTATTTTTATACCCTTAAATTTTTTGTTTGGATGTTGATGGAGAAAATAGTAGTTTAGTACTTTTACTCACTTTAATGAGTTGTCTCCATTTTCTATTCTATTTTCTGCCCACTTGTGGAAAGAAAAAAAATAGTAGGGCCTACGTGTATTATTTTTCACTCAATTTTCTCTTCCTTTCTCTTTTCTCTCTTACCAAACAACTTACATTTCTATTTTTCCTCCTAAAATTTTATTCTACTTTTCTTTCCTACCAAACATACTCTAAGTGTTGACATGATTAGTTTTGGTAAAAGGGACGTCTATGTGTTATTTTGGCAAAACACAAAGAATGTAAATGACGGTAGATTTTGAATTTTGTATTCTGAATTTGAATTGTTCTGTTTCTGATTATAATAATTTTGTGCGTTTAAATTGGTCCTCATTTGCTCTTGGCAGAGATTTCCTTTTTTTTTAAGGTAATTTTCAGAGGATTACATTGTATTAGTCATCTTTTTTGGAAAGGAAATTTAATCAACTTTCTAAAACACTCAAATGAAAAACTTATAATCTAAATATAAATATGAACACAATATCCCTATAATAAATTTCCTTCCAAAAAAGATAATATGCATAGATGGATGAGCGCCCTGCGTCCGAAACCGCCCCAATGTATGTGTATGTATATACATGTGTGTGTGTATGCATGTATACCAATCCCATATCCATATGTTTCGTTTTTCGATTTGTTCCTATGTCTAATTATCGTTTTTAAAGATTCTCAAAAACAAAATTATCGTTTTCGAAGGTGTTATTGTTTTAGTTTTGTTGTCGTTTGAAAGATTGTTGTCATTTTCAGGCTTTCTGACGTGTTGGTATCATTGTTGTTTTTTTTTTATTTTTTTTAATTATTATCGTCGGTTTCTTATATTCGTTGTAACTTGTCGCTTCATGAGTGTTTTGCATTTCTTTCAAGAGGAACAACAAGTGATCCAAAGTGGGCCCGGGTTTCTGCCCAGAAGCAAGGATGCTCAACAATATGTGGATCGATAATGGCGAGAACACGAAGGAGTTGTTATTTTAGAGTGTGATTTGAGTATAGTTTTTGAGTTGAATTTGAGTTATAATTTGAGTTAAAGTTGTAATTTGAATAAAGTTGAATAAAATTAAAACTTAAAATAACATGAATTTAAATAAATCTATAACTTTAGTTCAAACTTTTTATGAGTTTTATTACAAAAGAACGACCCCAAGTTCTTCTGCAGTCCTTCCGGTCTCACCCACTTGTTTCATTATCTGCTTGCTCAACTCCATGGATATTGTCAATTTTGTTTTTTTTCTTTTTCTTTTTTACTCTTTTCTACTAGGTTTTACGTTATGTCTAACACTATACATATAATATGTTTATATATGTGGAATTAAAGTCGTTGAAGACAAGTTGTACACCTATAGGAATAGGACTCACCAGGTCGTTTTTTTTTAATTAATTTTTTACTTTTATTGCGAAATTAGGTGTTATATCTCTTTTCCCTGAAATATACACACATATATGTGCCATATTTTTTAATTTGGCTTAATGAAAAAAAAAATCACGAATTCCTTCAAAAAAAAAAAAAAATCGCGAATTTCTCGTTTCCTTTTTCTTTTTTAGTTAGGCGTTTTAGGAAATATAAAACGTCATTTTTTTTAATAATATGGAAATAAGATAGTACACGAAGGCCTCATTCATTTCACTGATTTGAGTTTTCAGTTTAAGTTTTTACAGTAAAAAGTTCTCATGAAATGTCATATCTAACATTTTATGCCACAATGAAAAAACTCTCAAAAAATGCTACATCTCAATTTGAATTGAAAACTCGAATCCGCAAAGTGAATGAGACCTAATGCTTTGAATCTTCCTTTCGTATTCTAAAAAAGAGTGTAGAATCGGAAACGATTGTGAAATTGGTTCAAAATACAAGAGACGAATGCATTGATTAAGTCTATATTTGCACAAAGATTGGCCATTGGTTGAATTTATGGATGAAAATGAATGGAGTTGTCGAGGTTTTAATTTGTGGATAATATCGACGGAAATGTTGATGCTGACGGAAATTTTTTTTATTGAAACGGTTTATAATGCTAAAATTTATTTAATTTAAACTACTTCAATAATAATAATAATTTTTTTATTAGAATATGAGAGTTATGTTGAATAGTATAGTAGAAAATTATCACAATTATATATAGATTATGATTCAAATATAATTTTACATACTCATTATAAACAATGCACAATAATTTAATATACTACATAGAAATTAAGTACTATATAATAGAGTACACACATACTTAAAGTGTTTTCAGTATCAAAACAAGTTTCTAGCAAGTTAGAAAGCATTAAGTAGGTTATGATCTTGATTTAAACAATACATTTGCTAAGATATTATCCTTGAAAAATTATGGATGTAGTTGTTGATGCGTCACATATATGTTTCTTGATCTCTTCCCATTATTAACCCATAAATTGGGTACTGTTGGTTTATCGAACTTGATAACTAGTCTTTAGAATGTGTAATTACACTTTAACATTGATATGTGGTGGATAATACACTAATATATCATACAAACCATTTTGGTTTGTACTTCTGAAGTAAATCTCATGTGAGAACTGTATGAATAGCTATATAAATATTGCTCTGTTGTTAAGCTCATGGAATTAAAACTCAAGGCTATAAAATTCACATCAGTTTGACTCAATTAAGTTACATCACGTCTTTTTATAAATAGTTTATTTAAAAAGTAATTTTTTTTAAAAAAAACTAAGGCCTCGTTCATTTTACTGATTCGAGTTTTGCTACAGTAAAAAGCTCTTATAAACAGTCACATCTAGCTTTTTTGATATCGTAAAAAGCTTTCGCATAAAGTCACATCTAAACTCGAATTAAAAACTCAAATCAACGAACTAAACGTGCCCTAATTAAGTCTTAATATTTGATTTTTATTTAAAACATGCCGTCACATTTTATTTAAAAAATATGAAAAAATACACTATAAAGTTGATTTTTATCAAAAAAAAAATTCCCCAAGATTTTTGGACATTTCCAAAAATATCCTGAATATTTACAGATATTTACGAATTTTATAGATTTTTTAAACATTACGAATATTTTATAGACATATTAAGATGAATATATTTTCTTCCTATATTGAGACTTCAAAATATAAATAATATTGTGGAAATGTCGATGATGTGGTAGATACACAAGAAGAACAAATCCTAGGAGATTGAATCTTAACATATAATTTATAAGTGTGCCACGTGGCTTGCTTTACTTGGCCTTAAAAAAAGAAAAATATGTATTCATATATAAGTTACATGATTTAGAAGCCGATCAATTAAATCGTTTTTTTTTTTTTTGTTTTTTTTGTTTTTCTTGTGTTTACAAAAATACATAACTCATCGGTGTAGGGTTAAGCTAACAATAATTCCACAGCGATATCTTGGTCTTTGTTAGTTAAAATCTTAAAAGAAAAGGCATATGTACATGTACACACCATGCACATGATATATATAGTGTCAAATCTTGAAGAAAAGAGAGTTCAAAAGAAACTTAAACAATAGTTCTTATCCAATATCATTACAAACCATCATCTCCTAATCTTTCATAGCCAATACAAAATCAAAAGCGCAAGCTATTCCTAGAAAACAAAAGCATAGCTATTTAAGGACACTAAAAGAGGATATGTAACATAAGGTATTAAAGGACTCCTTAGGATCTAAAGGGTAGTATGTTGTACTTTTTTTTTTTTTTGGGTAATGAAAACGACGTCGTTTGACTCGTAATTGAAATCGCTAAAAAAGCTTTGCGCGCTTCGATAAGTAGATAGATTTTCACAATCGTGTCGTTTTTAATATTGATGTCGTTTTTTGCGTTAAAACAGGGCAACGTTGTGTTGGCCAAAACGCGCCCCAACCCTACCAAAAATCGGACAAACAAACAGGAGAAGAACCTCTCTGAAATTCTAGCTTTCTAGGGTTTTAGGAACAAACTCTCTTCTTCCCTAATCTTAAACCCTCTTCCTTCACGAAACCAAATCAAAAATGGAGCAGCGACTCGCCAATTCATGGCGTCTGACAGTGAACGAGAAGAAGTTCATCGAGACCGCTCTTCTCCCCGCCCTCCGAATCGACGGCCGCCGCCCATTCGACTACCGGAATCTCACCATCAACTTCGGGAAGCATGACGGCTCCGGCGAGGTCCAGCTGGGCCAGACCCACGTCATGGCCTTCGTCACTGCTCAGCTCACCCAGCCCTACCGCGACCGCCCCAACGAGGGCTCGCTTTCCATCTTCACCGAGTTCTCTCCCATGGCCGATCCCTCCTTCGAGCCCGGCCGCCCCGGCCAGGCCGCCGTCGAGCTCGGCCGCGTCGTCGACCGAGGCCTTAGGTAAATGATGACTTCATCCTTAGCTTTTTTTTTTTTTTTTTAATGAGTCAATTTTATGAAAAAATCGAATTTTGATTTCTGTTGATTGGAGTGAATTAATGGAGGTTTGAAATGAATGAATGTGCAGGGAAAGCAGGGCCGTTGACACAGAATCGCTCTGCGTTCTATCAGGAAAGTCGGTCTGGGCCATCCGTATTGACCTCCATATTCTTGATAATGGAGGGTAAGTTGTAAAATTAAGACTTTGTTGTCTATATTTGTTTTAGTACTTGCATTGTTTGTCCTTATTAGTATTAAAAACTTGAGGATAGGAACCTTGTGGATGCTGCAAATGTTGCTGCTTTGGCTGCTCTCTTGACGTTTAGGAGGCCTGAATGCTCATTGGGAGGAGAAGATGGTCAAGAAGTTGTTGTGCATCCACCTGAGGTTTGAACCTGAAATTTGTCTGGAATATAAGCTTTGGATGGTATTTGTAAGAGTCCTATATGTATTGAACACATGAATTATCAATGGAAAAATGGTTTGTTGAAAGCTCATTTTGAATATTATTGTGTTTCAATCATGTATTGTGTAGGAGAGAGAGCCCCTACCTTTGATAATTCATCACCTACCCATAGCAGTTACCTTTGCATTTTTTGGTAGTGAGAGCAGCGTGGTAAGTCAAAATATGTCTCTTCTTAATTGTGAATGTCTGTTCGGTGCTTAGTTTCAATGGTTTAATTTGGTGCGGATGTTGGGCAGGTGATAGATCCAACCCACCATGAGGAGGCTGTTACTGGGGGACGAATGACAACAACATTGAATGCGAACGGCGATATTTGTGCTATTCAAAAAGCTGGAGGGGAGGGTATTTTGCAGAGTGTTATTATGCAATGCTTGCGAATTGCTACTGTTAAAGCCGGTGATATAACGGAAAAGCTAAAGAAGGCAGTAAGTTTTTATATGTACGACATAGTTTTTCAGTACTTGAGTTGCCTTGTTATACTAAAAACCACGGTAACTTCTCATTTCAAAATTTCAAAACTCTAAATAATGTTTTGCGTCTGTGAATGAAATGACAGGAATGGAAAGTGAAAGAATACCATTTTTATTATTTATAAAGTTCAGTTAGTCACCATTTTGGTTCAATTTTCTGTCAAGGAGTGTATATTCTATATCACGATTTAGGCGAAGAATGCATTCTTTTCTTGTTTGGCTAATTGTTTACTGGCATTGCTACACTTTTTAACTTTCTAATACAAAATCTATTAGGTTGATTCATATAACACAGAGAGAGCATTAAAGAAGATCAAGCGTCATCCTTCTTCGACTCTTATGGATGTTGATGGAGCCCATTCTAATTCAAGAGAAAAACAAAGCCCTCCAGCTTTTAAGAAGGCTACCAGTGAGTTCCCAAGCCATCATACGAGAAAGTCAAATAAACTTGAAAATGTTGAAGGCGAAACCAACTCATCAGAACAAAGAAACACCACTAAGAATTTCATTGGGGGGCCTTCTAGTTGGTATGCTGCTAGATTTTTCATATTTTTATTGTAATCTCAGATTGTTGCACTTTAATCTTTTTGCTGTTGACTATATTCTGAACAATCTTCTTTTTCTTCAGGGATCCGTATTCGAAAGGCGTTGATCCAGATTTCTTAAAAGCTTCCCTAGCTTTGCGCGGTAGTACTGCCATCTCTCTAATAAGGGAACAGTTTTACATGCTTTGTTTTTATGATTACCTTATATATCTGAATAAATGCTCATGGTTTTTCTGTAAAAGAAAAACTTTTCTGTTTGGCTTACTGCTATACCGGGAACATGCAGGAGCATCGACAGCTAGTAAAAAACAGGAGGTATCAAAAAATGAGAAGATGCATGGTGTAGCCAAGTTGGAGGAAACTACTAAAGATGTTAATGAAGGATTTTTACCAGTTGAAGCGGCTCAAGCGGAACAGCCAACAAGAGGAGAGAAAACATTGAAGGATGCTGTGAAGCCCAAGAACAGGAGAAAAAAGAATCAATCTTCCACTGGTGCAAGCTAGATGAGGCATGACAATCCGTTGGAACTTATTGAGGAAACAAGAGTTGGAAAATGATGTGCGGCTGGACTGTTTGACTTTGGCGTGATACATCGGATTGGCATGGGCAGAGCTGCAAAACATTTATGAACTCATCCGTAATTTGGACTTTTGCCCGCATCTAAGATTGGCTTAGCTGAATTCTTGTTGCAATGGATCAAATTGATCAAGAATTATTCCATTGTCATTGCTGAAGCTGCTAGAATGACCTTAAGTGCAGTTTGCATGCGACTCAGATCTGACTCTCGACGTTTTGGATTTTGTTGAGGCAATGATTTGTTCTTTGAAAGATGTATTTTCTCCTTGCTCTTTTCTCTTTTTAAGATTCAGGTAATATGTACATGAACAGAGTAATCAAGATTATAGTCAAATCTACAGATTTTGGTATTGAATGTTTTAAGTTTTTGAAGTGTCACAACATATGATGCTCAGTCCAAATCACTACCTTATTGCTGCTCAGTCCAAATCTTCTTTGCATCGTTGCAATATTTCTATCTTACTTTAAATATTTCTCTAAAGAGACCTTTTCCGGTAAGATGGTCTACCGAAATTGAAAAAGTATGCAAAATAAATAATTTTTAATATAGATCTCACGGCTGAAAATTAGAGAGCTATTGATAATTTATTTTTTTCATTCTTATTGTTGGGAATTGGAGTTTGAAGGTTTCTGGGGTTAATTCCCAATAATTGGTATTAGAGCCCTAATCTTCAAAGGCTAGGGCAAAGCAATCATGGGGACAACTCAATTCGATGTCGAAAATTCACGGGAGAAAATGATTTCAATCTCTGGAGGGTTAAGATGAGAGCACTACTGGTACATCAGGGGCTTGATGATGCGCTTCTGGGAAAGGATCATATGCCGGGTTCGCTCTCTGACAAAGAGAAGGACATTCTGCCCAAGGCACACAGTGCGATAATTCTCAGTCTTGGTGACGAGGTCTTGCGCGAGGTTTCATGCGAATCATCAGCGGCAGGGGTATGGCTGAAACTGGAAAGCATGTACATGACTAAATCTTTAGCTAATAGGCTTTTCTTGAAAAAGGCCCTTTTATACTTTGACTCTGGAGGAAGGTGGTTCTTTGAAGAAACACTTAGATGAGTTTAATCGTCTAATCTTGGATATGAAAAGCGTTGATATCACCATTGAGGATGAGGATCAAGCTATTTTGTTATTGAGTTCTCTGCCAAGCTCCTTTCGAGAATCTTGCAGATACCATGTTATTTGGAAGAGACTCCATTACCTTGAAAGAGGTAAAGGCGGCTCTAAATTCTAAGGAACTGAAGAAGAAACATGGTGTTAAGGAGGAAGTAGGAGAAGAAGGCCTTACAGCCCGGGGAAGGCCTGAAAGGAGAGACAATAGATCAAAAAGTAGGCCAAGATCCAAATCCAAGGGAAAAAGAAAATGCTTTATATGTCATAAGGAAGGACATTTCAAGGAGTGTCCAGAGAGAAAGAAGAAAAGCGTTGAGAAGTCAAAAGAGACAGGTAATGTAGATTTGGTTACATATGGGTATGACAGTTCGGAATTACTGTTGCTGTCAGAAAACAAGCCTAAAGGTGAGTGGATTATCGACTCAGGATGTTCCTTTCATATGTGCCCCAACAAGTCAAGCTTTATTTCATTCAAGAAGCAAGAATGATGGCATATTTTACTTGGGAATGACAAGGCTTGTAAAGTGGAGGGCATTGGCGACATTAGATTGAAGCTGACAAATGGCATGGAGAAAACTCTTTCTAATGTTAGATATGTCCCAGAATTAAGGAGGAATCTGATATCATTAGGGATGTTAGATGCTCAATGATTCAGTTTCAAATCTGGTACTAAAAGTCATTAGGGGATCTCTCATAGTTGTGAAAGGGATTCTCAGAATGGCCTATACATCTTGGAAGGCAAAACTGTCGTAGGTGAAGCAGCAGCTGCATCACAAGATTCATCATCAGTAACTAAATTGTGGCACATGAGACTTGCTCACATCAATGAAAAAGGCCTAGAAGAGCTGCACAGACAGGGACTACTCAATAGGGCCAAAATCTCAAAGTTGGGTATCTGTGAACACTGCATATATGGTAAGACATGCAGGGTAAGGTTCAATACATGTATTCATTGCACTAAAGCTCCTTTAGATTATATTCATTCTGATTTATGGGGTCCTTCTACAGTATCTTCTCATAATGGTTCTAGATATTTTCTTTCTATCATTGATGATTTTAGTAGAAAAGTTTGGACTTATATTCTCAAAAATAAAAATGATGCTTTTAATAAATTTAAAGAATGGAAGGTCTTAACAGAGAACCAATTAGGAAAGAAAGTAAAGAAAATCAAAACTGACAATGGTCTTGAGTTTGTCGCAGAAGAATTTAATCTGTTTTGCAGGAAAGAAGGAATTGATAGACACCACAGTGTGAGAGATACCCCACAGCAAAATGGAGTGGCTGAATGGATGAACATGACCATCATGGAGAGAGTGAGATGCATGCTGTCGAATGCATCATTACCAAAAACCTTTTGGGCAGAGGCAGTACAGACAACAAATTATGTAATCAACAGAAGTCCCTCATGAGTAATTGGTAATAAAACTCCTCAGGAAAAATGGACAGGTCACACTCCAAAGCTGGATCACTTGAGAGAATTCGGCTGCACAGCTTATGCTCACAATAAGTAAGGAAAGCTGGACCCAAGGGCAGTCAAATGCATGTTTTTGGGGTATCCACATGGAGTGAAAGGTTATAGGCTATGGTGCAATAAACCAGGATACAAGAAGGCAATAATCAGCAGAGACGTTGTATTCAATGAAGCTGAAATGTATAATGCCAAGACACTCAATACAACGAACACAGAGGAACACAGCCCTCGGGAGATATTAGGGCTGGGGGTAGAGCCAAAAAGCTCAACCGACAACGAAGTTGAAGAAGAACAGATGCAAGGACATCAAGTGGAAGAACCGGATCCTTTGTCTGACTATACACTTGCAAGAGATCGAGTGAAAAGGCAAACCAAACCCCCTGAAAGATTTGGTTATGCGGATCTCACTCACTATGCTCATAATGTTGCCGAAGGCATGGCAGACTCAGAACCATCCAATTACTATAAGGCAGTAAAGAGCAAAGAGTAAGATAAATGGATTAGTGCTATGAAAGATGAACTTGAATCACTACATAAGAACAACACTTGGGTTTTGGTGGAGAAACTGGCCAAGCAAAAGATTGTGGGATGTAAGTGGGTATTCAAGAAGAAAGAAGGTATAAAGGGAGTGGAACAAGCAAGATATAAGGCCAGGTTAGTGGCTGATTACGCCCAAACGTGTACAAAATAAGCGGTCAATTGTAACACAAATGCATGGTGTCTCTTGCCTTAAAAAAACAAGAAAAGAAAAAAAAAGAGTTTGTGTATATTTGTTTGTATTTTTTAGCTTTTTGTTTGTTTATGAGATCTTCCTCTTGACCAGAATGAAATCCCAAAAGCTTGTTTATAGTTTGAGTGATGAATTGTTCTAAATATTTGATTTCCCTATCATTTGATCAATGTTTGTTTAATAGCTTGTCCTTAAAATTGCCTTCTCTCACTTGAGCATTGATTGATTGATTTCCGACTCCATGAGTGAAAACCCTTTGCATTAAAATATTTTCGACACCCGTGAGGTAAATGGAGTTGAGACTTTTTCTTGGTGAGTTTTTCAATGCTATTTGTGTTATGGACTGTGGTAAGAGGGATACGGTTTGGTGCACACACACACGACTCTGTAGTTATGACTAAAGTAGTTTTGATAGCATTTTCTGATGACTTATTAATGTTTTGTTTGATTGCTTAGGTGATCTTGCTAGTTTTGATTTGAATTTTCGACTTGACATGATTTTTCTTTCGCTTGAATTGCTAGAGACTAGCAGTAAGCTGGTTGGGGGTTGTGATAAGTGTATGAAAGTGCACCTAAATTGTTCATAATTGCTAAATAAATTGAGTTTTAATTAAATATTTTTGTGGAATTAATATTTTGTGAAAGTATTTTATTTTAATTTAATTTATTTTGTTTTGTAGGAAAATAAGACACTTGGGCCAAAACTATAAAGAAAAAAAGAGAAGCCTAAAGCCCATCAGCCCATCAACAGCTGTCCGCCAGCCGAGCCGCACCAAACCGAGCCGCGCGAGCCCCATCGCTGCCACATGTCGTTTTCTGGCACGCTTCTACCGCGTAGGACCCAGCTGTCCCCGCACATACGCGCGCTTGGCGCGCACGGCCCTCCTCCCCGGGCGAGTTCTTCTCACGCGCGCGTCAGACGGTTCTCCTTTCTTCTCTGCGTGGGTCCCGCCGTTCAGCAGCTCTCCAATCGAGTTTCACAGGTGTCGCATGGGACCCAGATGCTCCCTCATTCATGCGCGTGTGGCGCGCACAGCCCTTCCCCCTGAGCAAGTTCCTTCCACACGAGCGTCTCTCTTCTTCAGCGTGGGTCCCGCGTGCAGCATTTTCCTCCCACAGCGCGCCACGTGTCCAAGGCAGAGCAACATTTCTTCTCTCTTCGCGCGACACGTGTCCCACTCATTTGAGATTCTTCAGCTAGCGATACGTTTTGGTTCCGTTGGATGTTTCAGCATTCATTCTCAGATTGAAGCCTTGTAAATCCAATTTATTTGGGTAAAACGTCCCCTTATTTGTGTTTATTTGCTGAGTGCTTTTTGACATCCTCAAAGACTCTATAAATTGGAGCTTTGTTAGAGGTATTAGGGGTTAATTTTGAGCCTAAGTTTAGACATCTTTTTCTCTTTGGTGAGGTTAGAGAGAAACCTATATGTGAAGTGATCTTGAGTGGATTTTGATTCTCCATTTGTTCTTCAAAGTTTATATATTTGAGTGATTAATTTTCTTCTATCTTCTTCTAATTTCTCATATTGATATATTTTATTGTCAACTTTTATATAAATCTAGTCAAGCTCTTTTTATGTGATTGTTGCATGATACTATATATTGATAGATATTGTTTTATGAGTAGTCTTTTACTGCAATATTGCCAATGGTATATTGTCGCTCTTAGATTTCTCTTAAGATGATTTTTCCTAATACTAAACGTAAGAATTTTACTCACTGGAATACATTTTAATTCACATGTTCTTCAAATATATATTTTCCGATTGTTAGTTTGGGATGTGAAACTTTCAATTGAGTAATCTCAAAGATCAAAATCCATTCGGGTGAACGAAGCATATAGGGGAATCTCGACGCCTTACCGGTTTTAATTACATAATTTTCTCCTATATTTTTCTTACACTTAAACTTCTCAACAAAAATTCCATTCTCTTTTATTTTTACTTTATTATTTATCTCCTAAAGCTTTTTATTTGCTAATCATTTCTTGTTCGATTTGTCACTTCCTCGTGGGATCGACCGTCCTAATT